ATCTATTTTATTTTTAGTGTAATTTAACATTTACGAGTCTCAAATGTGACAAGAGCTGCATGGCTAGCCAAAAAAAAACAAATTTCAAATAATTCAACAAAATAAATGACGTTTAAACGGCGTTGCCAGTGCGGCCCAAAAGCGGTGGCTAAAATGTAATTATCGATAACAGAAGAAGAGGCAAAGAAGAAGGAGGAGGATGTGAAGAGTGAAAACTAGCAAACACACGACCAACTAATGCATGATTTCCTCTACCAACACAGGTTTTCAAGAATATCACCTTGCTCTAAAAGATCCCAGCGAAACCCCCTTATTGACCCTGATTTTAAGCCTATAAACTACCAAATAGTTTTCCTTGGGAATTTAAAGAACCGCATGAGTCAGAGAGTGCAGTTCGTACATCGATTTAAATACGGGACGCACACACTCTCACCGCCCCGAAAGGTCTGCATGTGTGCGTGTGCGCTTGTGTGTTTACGCCCACGCCTTAAATTATTGAACCAAAAAGAAAATGCCAAAAAAAAATTGCCGAAATACATTTGCAACACGAGGCCAAGTGCTGTCTGCTTAACCTTTGATGAATGAACAGAATAATATAAAGGAACATAACCAAGCGGAGAAGCAGAAGCAGAAAAACGGCAGTGGAAAGAGAAGCCAAGAGAACCTACAACAAAAATTCAGCATGAACGAGTTCAACAGCAGCCGTTCGTTTGTTCTCGTTGCTGCGCATTGGTATGCGTGTTGCCCTGTGTGTGTGTGTGCGTTGGTAAATTTGTGAAAAAGAAAATCAACCGTAAAATGTTTGCACGCTACCACAAAAAATAATCAGCAAATTGTCTCTGCTGACCGAAAAAAGAAAATAATAAATAAGTTCGCCAAAGTTCATTACACTCAAAAGTGCGTTATTATTATTATGGCTCTTATTTATTATTGTTATTTTCAAGTGTTTCACATACGTTTCACTGCTGCAACAACAAAAACAGCAGCTAGAAAGAAGCAGCAGCAGCGGCGGAGTTGCCAGATCGCAGCCGGACATCTTTGTCACGCTGCCCAAAAGAGAATTCGCGAAAGCAGCCGAAAAAAAATTATGTACATGTGTAAGCAGCGAGGAAATTAAACTACTGATTTGCGTGGGAGAGATGGGGTCAATTACAAGATGCCATCGATGCAATGACCTTTGATTTCAATTGAGTAGTAGCAGCAGCAGCATAAAAGAGCTGTTGAATTTTCTATTTTCCAGTTTCGCATTTAGCATTTCCATTTCGCAAATGTGCTAGTGTGCTAGACAAAGAAAAAGGTATTTTTACGCATACAATCGAAAAAGCAGCGAGCAGTCAAACAGCTGATAAATCATTCACCCACACAGATAAGAGGAAAGGGCTTGCACATACACACAAGCACACCCGCACCGGAAGGTGAAGAGAAATGAGAAACGAAACTCTCGCTGCAACAACAAATGCGTGTATATATGTAGGTAACAGAAATATGAGCGATCACTTCCATTCGAGGTATTTCCCATGTAAAAACTTAATTCCCACTGAGATAATGCGAATCTGTGTAGCGGCAACAGAAATATAAGCACTTGAACTATATTTTTTAGATAACAGACTAAGCTGTTTCGAACGTTGCTATTTGTTTTTTGAAAATGGTTAATACTTTTTTATTTTAGATTTTTGAAGATTACAATCTCGTCCGGACTAACACAAGTATTCCTTTTAAGGTTGTACAAAGATAGCATATCTTTTTAGATAGTATACTGGAATTTGCAATTTTTTGTCCTGTTTTATCTATTCAGTGAATAGTTTTCAGATTGTTTTTGATTGAAACTATATATAAACACACTCACACTTATCAGCAGTACACATGTGCACGAAAAGGTAGATGAGATTATAAATAACACGTTTTTATAGCTTTGGCAAAACAAAACTAGTCACACTTCCAGAGGCTTCGAGAGACTTGATAAAGAGCCGTGCAGGACCACTTTTAAACGAATTATTTCAGAAACTGAGAGAGCACTACGTATAGGCTTATAAAAGCAGGAGGGACCTTGTGGCGAACTTACCTCTGAAACCGACTCCTCCTCCGATTCGGACAGGTCTGTGGTGACCGGCTGGGGATAGAACTCGGTGTCGGTGTCCGTGTCCGGCGTTATGATGATGTTCTGCAGCGCCGAGATGGCATTCACAATGTTCGCCGACGAGGACAGCGAGGAGGCGGTTGATGACATGGACGAGGTGGCAGAGCGATTGGATGCGGATGCTGAGGCAGCGGCGGCCGCATCCTTAAGCTTCTGCTTGAGCACGGCGGCGGCATTAGCCACATCCACGGCGGGATTGAGGGCCATTCTGGCGGCTGCACCTCCGGATCCAGATGATCCTCCCGCTCCTCCTGATGATCCACCGGTAGCAGCGCCAGCGTTGCTATCGGAGGCAGCTGCGGCGGCACCCATCAGCAGAGTGGTTGCGGCGAATTTCAAATGCGCCGAATCCTTGCTGGTCAAGTTGGGGGCATTACCGGAGACGGACTGCTGCTGCTGCTGTTGTTGTTGCTGTTGCAAGGCCACCTGTCGCTTCAAAGCGGCCACTGCTGCTCGAGTCTTCTTCGAGGACGAGGAGCTGGAGGAGCTACTACTGGGGGCAGGAGCAGATGCGGATGCAGTTGCTGTACCAGGAGCAGGAGCAGGCAGTGCTGGGCTGGGCGCCGACGCCACGGCGGAACGGAACTTGGCGGCATTTACTGCTCCAGTGGTGGTCACCGGACCACCGGCTATGACCGTCCCTCCGCTGCCGCTGCTGCCACTCGTTGTTGTTGTTGTGGTTGCTGATGCGCTGCTGCTGCTGCTGCTACCGCTGGTGGCCGTGGGCGTTGTGGGCGTGGCCGAGGCCTGACTGCTACTAGTTCCAGACATCTTGGCAGTGTTATTGTTGGTGTTGTTAACTTTCAATCGGCTATTGCTGGGTAGTAGTGGTGGTGGTGCAGTGGTTGATCCTGATGACTCCGTCGTCGTCGTCGTCAGTGGCTCATTCTTGGCCGACAGGATCTTCCGTCCGCTGGTCTTCAGACTATTGTTAGCCAGTAGAGCGGCGGCTATCGAATGTCTGGCGGCAGCGATACGTGGTAGATTATGATTCAACTGTCTGTTGGGCTTTTGTTGATTGGTGTTATTGTTGTTGATGTTATTGTTATTATTGGAGCCAGAGCCCGATGAGCCTGCGTTATTCTTGCTGGTTGCTTTCGGTTGGTTGGTTGTTGTTGTGGTTTTTTGGTTAAAATACGCCGTAGAGCGCACATTCAAGTCATCGCATTCATGGTTTTTCGCATCATTATTCATTTTACTCTCTCGCTGGAGGTTGTGTTATTGGGGTTTTTCTTCTTGATTTACTTTCAATTCGCGCGTCCTTTTGGAATATTTTGGGAGAGGAGGAAAATAGGTAGAGATTATATAGGTTTTTTTGGTGTTTTTAATTTTTTTTATTGAGTAAACAGAAACTAGTCCCAAGTAAATCTCACTTCAAGTGAATTTAACATATTTGTTGATGTGTTTTTCAAGGGGGGCGGTGCAGGGGTACAAAAACACATCAACAAAAAGAGGTTCTTCGGTTATATTGATTTTTTTATGGATATTGTTAGGAATTGGATTTATATATATGCGATGCGATGGGCAAAGAAACTAACACACACACACAGGCACCTCGCACGCACACACAAACAGACACAGAGAGCCAGCGGGGTGGCAACGCTGCGCATTCTTTCACTTTGCCTTTGCACACTCGTTCGTACATCGTTCGTTCGCATTTAATTCTCCCATTCCATTCCATTTCCCCTGTCCACTGATTCACATTTTTACACCGAAAATTGTTCAGGTGCGAGACAAAACAAAAAACACTCTAAATCACACAAATTGCCCCGTTTCATTTCGCCAATTTCTTTTTTATTCGCGGATTCAAGACGAATCGATGCGCAATTAGGACTTGGGCAACGTGCTTCACTATTTATATAATCGCAGTGGGGAGGACGCCGCCGAAACGCCAAATCGAAGGCTGCACTTTGCGAGCTTAATAACAATCGCATATATGCAATTGCAGTACTTTATTTATAAAACTTTTCGCAGCAGTTTCGACTTCGCCCGAGCGAACGAAGAAAAAATCACTTTTCGACTTTGGCGTATGCGTTTCTCGCTTGGTCGATAGCCTCGTCTCGTTCGCGCACACGCGATGCTCCGACGCGGCCACTCGGACCGCTGTTGCCATCCCCCTCGCACGCGCAGACGAAGGCAGAAAATAGCAGGAGCGACTGAGGGAAAATTTTTTTGCCACTATTCCGATGCCAATTTTCACCAATTAACTGGCGTTCACAGGCCGGAAAACGGGCGCAAAGTGTGCCCCACACGGAGGCCAACAGTTTGGCGATATTTGCGCGTATTACCGTTTAAAATTTGAAGCAAATTAATCAATTTTTCAGCAGTGTTAAATTCTCTGTCTATCGTCAGAGTTTCGGATCGCCATATTATTCCCGGATATAAAGAAAAGGTAGGACCGCACTGCAGAGGTGCAGAAACATCGATGGAAACATCGATTAGTTATTTGCTTGCAATTATAGGGAATTGTATTGATGGTGTTGGCGCGACGCTGCTAAAGTTTTGTAACGATGAATAAATTCTTAAAACTTAAGTAAACTGTAAACTGCAAGCAATGTTGTTCATTGTGTACGTCTCATGTGTGGGTACGTAGGTATAACATTGTGTTATATTTTATTTCATAAATGAATAAACGTTTTGTTTTTTTTTTTAATACAAATTCCATTGAGATTTTTTAGATATATTTAAAAATATAAAATAATTATGGAAAACATCTTATGTTTCATCGAAGCTGCGTTTCGCGATATACGATGATGATTCGCCCTTCACTATCGTACGGTCACACGGGATGTTAGGAGGGTGTCCTCGCTAACTAAGGCCATCCCTGGTTCGCTGCTGTTGCTATCGATTTTGGCATCGACCTGGCAACCCTGTCTTTTTTCCAAACTAACAACACGACGTGTCATTTGCCGGATTTGATTCACATCGCAGGGATTTAACGACATAAATATGCACACTGTGTTGACCCGAGGAAACGCCACGGTGGCATACACGCTGAGCGTCCTGGCCTGCCTCACATTCAGCTGCTTCCTGTCCACCGTCTTCCTGAACTACCGGACGGAGGCCAACATCAACACGATTCGGGTGCTGGTGAAGAATGTCCCGGACTACGGAGCCTCCCGGGAGAAGCACGACCTGGGCTTTGTGACCTTCGACCTGCAGACGAACCTCACCGGCATCTTCAACTGGAACGTGAAACAGCTGTTCCTGTACATGACCGCCGAGTACCAGACTCCCTCGAACCAACTCAACCAGGTGGTCCTCTGGGACAAGATCATCCTGCGCGGCGAGAACGCCGTGCTGGACTTCAAGAACATGAACACCAAGTACTACTTCTGGGACGACGGCAATGGGCTGAAGGACAACCGGAACGTCTCGCTCTACCTCTCGTGGAACATCATCCCCAACGCGGGTCTCCTGCCCTCCGTTCAGGCCACAGGAAAGCACCTCTTCAAGTTCCCGGCCGACTACGCCACCTCGTCCATTTAGAGCTAGGAATGCTAACTGAAGCCGGTTCCATTCGGGTGCCGTAGATTGTAGTGTGTATCTAATAAAACCCCTAATAAAATCTCTGTGTAAAGATTTCGAAGGGAGTCTGGATGTCCCAGTCGGAGGGAGCTCCTTCAAAGTAATTGGATTTTCTTTATTGTTTTTTATGTGTGCACGAAGGTTCTGTAGGTACATACAATGAATCTTTAAATTAAAACCTTAATATTGAGTTACGGAATCTCAACTTTTCAAACTTCAAAATTACTAGCTATTTAATAAATAAATTACTGAGTATTCTCTCATATACAATTTGATCCACAAATTATTTAACCAGCAGCGCTCCTAAGAGCTGCCGCACTCAACGTGCGATTTTTGAATTCGTAACGCGACATAGTATCACTTCTTTTGGTAGAAGAAATGTTTTGGAAATGTAAAGAAATGTTAGGACCCAGATTCAGAATTTTCGCGGTCCTTTTTAGGATGGTAGGAAAATCTTTATCCAAGAGATAGAGATCAGAGTAGGTGCGGACCGCAAAAGTGACGACGAAGGTAGCGATCAGTAACTGTAGAAGATAGAAGCAAAGTTCAACTTATGGATACCCTATATTATTTGAAAGCAGCCTACTCACCAATTTTACTAAAGCCATGTTGACGATCGTCGAAGACGACGGATACCACACTAAACGATTAAACCAAGAAAACCCAATATATATGTAGCACTCAAGGCCTTATTAAATGGGTTAAACTCACGGATTAAATTTGTAAAAATTGTTAAGCAAATTTTTTAATAAGTTATTCGTCTTTTCATATTGCACAAAATTTATATTTCATGACTCATTTTTATTATTATTTTACCCAACTTGTATAATACTAAGAACTAGCAGTAATGATGATTGTATTGTTCTTCTTTTTGAAACTTGAACCGTTTCTGGTGGTAGAACTGTTTAGTTGGTGCTCGGACTTAGAATATTTTAAGAGCATTGTAATAATGGTGGGATTAACATCGCAACTAATACAAATAATGTCAGAAATTATTTTTTGTTAGCTAAATTCGTGTGCTGATTTAATTTAGAGGATATAATTTGTTAGGTTACACGGCCTATTTTGATGATTTAGCACATTTTTTTATTTACGTGTAAAACTGGTATTTTATTTCAGGCATGCAGATTATATAGTTGCCCTTGACTGAGGTATTGTTTACAGGGCAAAAAAAGAAAAATGCTTAAATAATGTTTATTTATAAGATCGATTCAATATTTAATATATCTAAAGCTCAGTTGAAAACTTTTAAATTTTCATAAATGCGTTTTTGAAGACCCCTTTTTAATGAATTTTCATATAGATTAACAAACAGGTCAGACTTGGTTTGAAGCATATTACAAGACAAAAAGATCATCTACATTAGCTAACTGTGACTAAGCAAATATTTGTGATGCTGGTTAGACTGGAGCTGTGGAAAAGCTTCCGCAACTGCAGGACGAACGTAATCTGATTGTTGGGTATAAAGCCAAAGAAATCGTTGCAACTGTGTACATGAAGCAGCATAAGAACCATGCAGTTGGATTTGGGAGTCAACTAGGCGCAGCCACAACAGCCGGCGGAAAACAAAGAGGCGAGCGAGTCGCGCAATTCACCTGGGTTTGGTCGAAAAAGAACCCATTCTTGAGTACTTCAGGTCCCCGACTTTAGCCACTACATCTAGTGGCATGAGGTACTTTTGCAGCTTGTTCGGCCAGATCTCCGCCCTGACTTCCTGCTGGTCATCCACAAAGTTGGAGATTATGATAGAGTGGAGCGCATTTAGCCCCTTTCGATTGATCCAAATTCCTCCACTCAAGCTCTTCAGACCAAATTTGTTCCGCGGCGTGTCCCTGCTGCGGGTTTTCCGGAAGTGCCTGAGCAGCATCTCACCCATCTTTTGGGTCAGGCCGACGAGTTGCTGCTCCTGCTCTCCACCCATGTTTATACGGGACAGTGGGGATTGCTGGAGGCCACATAATTGCAGTTTAATAGGATGGGTTAAGGGGTAAAACTTGTTGCCGCCGCCTGCAAAATTTATTGTCTCTGCCTCTTCTTTCCTTTCGCGGTTTGTTATTGCTATCGCACTGTAACACTGTAACTATCGATGACTCGGTAGGCGGCCATCGATAGGCGGCGCACTGCAACCCTGTTTGAGAAATTTGTGTTTGTCAAAACAAAATTGAAACTAAAAACTCGCTTAAATCGTCCCCCAGCGTAATTTCCCTTGAATTTCGTGTTATTCATGTGTCCGAATGCCGACGACGGCCCCCCGCGTACCCGTGAACGTTGTACCATGTGTGCCGCCCCCGTTTGAGTGCCAGCTAATCGCCTTGGCAGAGTTGCGCGTCTGAACGAATGAAAAAACTGGACATGTTTCGCTCGAAGCACTTGTGACTGACGAAATCTCAATTAAAAGCGCCGCCATGCTGCAGTACAAGAGTGCCGCCAGTGCGGCGACCAGTGCGCCCCCAACCACGCCCTCGGCGGCCGGCGGTTCCGCCAAGGCGGCGACACCAAGTGGAGCAAGTGCAGCACCTCCCCAATCGCAGGCACAGGGTGCTCCCGGGGCACCCACTATGCAGCAGATCATCAACATCCACCAGATGCCACCTCAGTTCGCCGGCGGAACGGTTGCCGGTGGCGCCCAGAGCGCTGGGATGCAGCAGAACATGTTTCAGATCGTACAGCCCATGCCCATGCAAACGGTCAACATCGATGGCCAAGAGGCCATCTTCATACCCAACCTCAATGCCCAAATGGCCACCGCGCAGGCGGTCAACTTCAACGGGCAGCAGGCTTTCATCACGCCCAGCGGTCAGATCCTGCGGGCGCCGCAGGTGGCAGCCAACCCGGTGGCCTCCAACTGCATCCAGCTGCAGCAGCTCAACGGCCTGGGTCAGGAGCAAACCCAGCTGATCACCATACCTGGCACCAATATTCAAATACCCGTCACCAATCTCATCCAGCAGCAACAGCAGGTGCAGCAGGTACAGCAAGTGCACCAGGGTGCTGTGCAGCAGCAGGCACAAGGATCGAATGCTGCCGGAGGTAATGCAGCGGGAGGAGCAAATTCTGGGGCGGCGGGCCAGCTGCCGGGCAGTATCACCATCCCGGGAACGAACCTGCAAATACCCACCTCGGTGGCGGCGGCCAATGGATTGCTGGGAAACCTCTCTAACCTGCTGGGCGGCGGGCAATCCATTAAGCTGGAGAATGGACAACTACAGATGCGTCCCCAACTGGTGCAGTTTCCGGCGCAAGCCGTACCGCAGCAACAGCAAACGGTGGCCGTGCAAATACCCGTGCAGACGGCCAGCGGACAGACCATCTACCAGACGGTTCATGTGCCCGTCCAGGCAGCGGCAACGGCGGGCGGAGGACTACAAAACCTGATGCAGGCGCAATCTCTGCAGATGCCCGCCGCCTCACAGATGCAAATCATCCCGCAGTTTTCACAGATCGCACAGATTGTTACGCCCAACGGGCAAATTCAGCAGGTGCAACTGGCCATGCCATATCCTCAGCTGCCGCCGAATGCCAACATCATACATATCCAGAATCCCCACCAGCAGCAGCAACAAGTGCAGCAACAACAACAACAGCAGGTTCATCAGCAACAACAGGCGCAGCAGCAGCAACAGGCACAGCAGCAGCAACAACAGCAGGTCCAAGCGCAACATCAGCAGCTACTGCAGGCCATCAGTGATGCCTCGGCGGGTGGACAACTGCCGCCCAATCAGCCCATTACCATCACCAATGCTCAGGGCCAACAACTGACGGTGATTCCCGCCCAACTGCGACAGGCTGCGCCTCCCGCTCCTGCGCCCGCTCCGGCAACTGTGCCCACGCCCATGCAGTTGCCCAATCTTCAGGCGTTGCCCATCCAGAATATTCCCGGTTTGGGTCAAGTGCAAATCATTCACGCCAACCAGTTGCCGCCAATCTGCCGGCCAACTTCCAGCAGGTGCTAACCCAATTGCCCATGTCGCAGGCTCAGGTGCAAACCCATGTGACGAACCAGGGCCAAGTGCAGGTGATGCCCAAGCAAGAGCCGCAGAGTCCGACGCAGATGATAACCAGCATTAAGCAAGAGCCACCGGATACCTTTGGACCAATCACCGCCACCTCCAACACTCCGGCCCCCGCCTCCACGCCGAGCACATCCACACCGCAACAGCAGCAGATCAAGTTCCTTCATACGGAGGGCAATACCCTGTCCAGCCTGAGCATACCAGCCTCCATTCAGATCACGGCCCTGCCACAGCAAGCGACGAATCCACCGAACACCCAAGCTCCATCCGTACAGCTGCCGGTAAGAAGTAAAGCCAACGTGGTAAGCACGTCCAGTACTCAGATTACGATTGCGCCGACTGGTGGCCAAGTCGTGGCTGTGACCACGCAGGCCAGGGGTGCAACTGCCAGCATAAGGAGCACGAACAGTGGCACAACGACGATAACAACGCCGGCCCAGGGCAATCTGAATGTGAGCATCAGTGTGGCGAGTGCAGGTGGAGGCGCATCGGGAGGCGGTGGAGGAGGAGCGGCAGTTGGAGAGCAGAAACCGCGCCTAAAGCGAGTGGCCTGCACTTGCCCCAACTGCACCGATGGCGAGAAGCACTCGGACAAGAAGCGCCAACACATCTGCCACATCCCCGGCTGCCAGAAGGTTTACGGCAAGACCTCCCATCTGAGGGCTCACCTCCGCTGGCACACCGGCGAGCGGCCATTTGTCTGCTCCTGGGTGTTTTGCGGCAAACGCTTCACGCGCTCCGATGAGCTGCAGCGCCACCGACGGACGCACACGGGCGAGAAGCGGTTCCAGTGCCGCGAGTGCAACAAGAAGTTTATGCGCAGCGATCACTTGTCCAAGCACATCAAGACGCACTTCAAGAGAGGCTCCGGCTTGGAGCTAATCGAGCTGAGCATCAAGCAGGAGGGCAAGAGTGGCAACTCGCCCAAGAGCATCAGCACAATGGGCGGCATTGTGACGATAGAGATCCCTGGCGGCGGTGCTGCGGCGGCGGGAAGTGGAGCCTCCAGTGTGGCGGCCACGGTTGCGGGCTCAACTGTGGCGCCTGGCGGGGCCACGATCGTTCAGCTGCCGAATGTGGATGCCCATGGCGGAGGCGACAGTTTCGGCGAGGACGAGGAAGACGAAGAGGATGAGGAGATGACCGAAGACGACGACGATGACGAGCAGCTCGATGATTGCGAGGATGAACTACTGGATGATTGCGAGGATGAGGAGGATGATGAGGACGCGGATCTGGATAGCGGCGATGAGGCGAAGATGACCATTGCTGTCAGTGAGCCTGGCGACAACTCGTCCAACTAGCATTCGGAGTCGCTGTTCATGGAACAGTTCTTGTTTGACCACTTCCCGTAGCACCCACCGCCCCCCTGCCACGCCCCGTGGGACCATGTAAACTAGCTCTAAATGTAAATTGTACATAGCGTAATTATGTAAAAGCGAGCATTTCAAATGTTTATCTCCGTGTACAGTTCCGGCTGCGGTTCATCCTAGATAAGTGTAAATAGCTTAAATCGAGCATCTTATTTTTTACTAAGATTTTATTATTAGTTTTTACAAATTTTTTATAGGAATTCAATGTTTTTAACAAGTTTTATACCGTCACTACACACATAGTAAGATTAAAGAAATCAATAAATGCGAAACTAGGATTTTAAACATTCAACCTTAATTTCATTTGGCAGACTCCTGGGTGGATGCGGTTACCTGGGTGTTGAAGGTTAGGTAGTCCATCTCTGAGTTTTGGGTACTTGGATAGTCCTCCGAATTAATTGACTCTCCAATCGACATGCTTTCCGAATTTATTTGAGCGCCAAAACGTACCCAGCTTTCATCCATCTGTGTAGCCGCACAGTCGACGTTCTGGGGATGGGAAGCTGGCTGCGACTGCTGCTGCTGCTGGTCCTCCTCATCCTCCTGATCTCCAATGCCACAAAGACCGGATTCCGAAGACATCTCTAGCGCTTCCGCTAGACTTTCATCTTGACCAGCTGGGGCAGCGGCTACTGTAGGCTCTGCAACAGGTTTTGGGTCCGCTGGCGCCTTTTGCGGCGACTCTTCCTCCTTGTCGTCTGAGTCATAGGTCGAACCAAAGGTGTCCTCAGATTCCTGCATCCCTTGGCTATCTAGATTCTCTGAGGACTCCCAATCTGGAGCGGATTCCATATTACTCTTCTTGCCATGCCATCTATCCAGCCTATGGTTGTTCAACTTTTTGGTCTGAGCTCTAATCACGTCTCTGTGATTTGCAATATAACCCTCCGGATACGGTTCAACCATCTTCTTTCTCACCGCTTTCAAGTACATGCCGTTGACAAATTTCTCGGGCTTGTTCTCCAGGCGCTTTTTTGCATCGAAACGCTTCTTTGCGTCCCAAAGGCAATTGTACAATGTCATTTTGACTTTTATCTTGGTCCTCAGGCACAGCTCTCTAACTTCATCCTCGGTGTATTCCCGTGCGAGATCCTGCTCGGTTATTCGCTAGAAATTCAGATAATACTAAACCAAATGGCTCTTCAAATAAATTCCTGCATACCGTCTTGTTGTGCATCCACATTATCATTTTGCCGTCACAGTCGGGATCATTGCAAATAGCACGAATGCTTTCATCTTCGTCGGCCAAATATTTTCGCAGGTAATCTGACATCTGAATCCCAGGCATTTTAACAAATTAAATTGTTATAAAATAAATAAATAAATTGACGCGCTTAAAGAAGAACGGGTCTATCGGAACGCGATGTGGTTATCGATCGCACTATTAGTGATGGTGGAATTGTTTAGCTGGAATATAGCTAATTATGGAGTTTTTAAGTTTGTAATATAACAAATAATCCCTGTAAAAGACATATAGATATAATCCAATGCTAAAAGTTTGACATTTAAAAAGCGAGTCCACACGTTTTCGTTTTAAATTATTTATCTATTTTGGTTCATACGATAGTTGGCAGCCCCGATTGCAAATTTCGATTGGCCGATAGGCAGCAAGTGGGCATTTTCGCGTACGCAGAACAAGCGCACAAAAGAGAAATGGAAAACGAAGGAAAGCGAAGAACGAGAGTTTACACATAGCAGCAGCAGGCTAAAACCACAAAAAAATCACCTATCCAGAGTCGGAAAATACACAAAATATATCGCGTTGGAAGCCGAGTTGACACCACAAAGAGCGTTGACCGAAAAAAGTGGCTAGTAAAGCAAACAGTACGAAATCTCTACGTGTTTTCATTTTCAACCCTGCGACCGTCTGTCTGTGTGTGTGTGTATGTGTGTGCGTGTGAGTGTGTGTTGTGCGCTTGTTTTGTTTTGACTAAAATCCCATTTATGTAGTTAAATTCACAAAACAAACATTACCTAGCTGTTCAGTTGAAAACTAGGGCAGACTGGAGTTGGCCAAAAAGGCACGTATTTTGGCCAGAAATTGCCGTGATATCGCCCGCTGATAAAACCGAGTGGCAACTCCGAGTGGCCACCATGTATACAAAAACAAGAAACGACGATGAAAACGAGTCGCGCGATAAATAAGTGGAAAGCGGAGGCGCAGCAGAAGAAAGAGCGACCCAAAACGAGTAGGGCAACAGCAGAATCGTCGCTTCTGTTTCGACAAACAGACACAAAATCAGCCAAAAAAATAACAAAAATTAGATTAAAAGGGATAAACCAAAAAGAGCACCAAAAACGTTAGAACTTGCCAAAATTTCAAAGTGTAACGCACGGAGGACATAAGTTGGCTTACCAATTCCAATTCTTTCAAAATTATTGAGTAATTTGCGGGGGAAGAGCTGAGAGAGAGCGCGTGAAACGAGCAAGTAAATTTGATTCCATTTGAATCCCCCAATACAATCCAGAGTGAGGTGACTTCCAGAGAAAAGTGAACTGATCCAGGTAATCCCCGGCTCCTGTTTCTGGTAACCCCGACATTTCCAATATGCGACATACGCCATACGGCCATTCTTCTTCTTCCTGCATTGCCCGCCCACGCCATTCTCCCTTCTAACGGTTCAGTGTGCCTGTGTGAGTGTGTACGTGTGCTAGGTGTCCGTGTGTGTGTGTGCTTGCACTTTGCGCGCGCTTGCAAAAAATCCTTTTAGTTTGCATTTAATTATAATTTATAATTTACCATCCTCAGCTGTGCGAAGACCAATAGCAGTTCATCACAAACAATACAATCGTAATTGTCCAATTTTGGTTTAAAATAGAAAAACCTTGAAACACAATCTATTCTTTTAAAGAAAGTTTTGAAAATTTGTTAAGATTTGCGATCTGAATATACTTATAAATTTATACAAAAAGAACTTTGATGGTATCATCTTACAAACAATGTTTAAATCAATCTAAATTTTAGTTCCTAAAACTAATGTTTTTAAGTACCGCTATTATTTTTCTCCTAGCTGGACCCCTTGATATGTACACCCAAATCAAAAGCCCCCCAACCCCTCCTTTTTTTACTAATACAAAATAATAATTGAAACCACTTTATTAATATTTTGCAGAGACGCTTATCATCAGGCGGTTATTATGAAAGGTTATGATTTGATTCCAATTCTCCTAAATACATTTAAGCTAAAACTCAAAGCATTCATATTTTTGTTGCTAAGCGAGGTTTTGTCTCCTAACATGAGCCCTAACTTCCTTGAAACAAATCCAGATTTTATCTAGTCCCCAACTCTTACCTAGAGATAATAATATAACTCTTTTTCATATATACTGAACAGGCAATCATTATAAAATGTCTCGTAACAAAGACAAATACGACAGTGCTAATCGGAGGCAGCAAATCTTTCTGTCGCAGGAGGATATAGCCGCTGGCAAAAAGACGAATTGGAGTGGTCTGGAGATTACGGGTGAGTTATCCCTTTGAAGCCTTTGAAAAACTTAACTTACTCATCCTAATTTTTTGGTACAGGTTGCGTCCGCAATATAAGTCCGTCACTGTGGGAGTTCGAGCATCTAACCGCCCTCTACCTGAACGACAACCAGCTGCTGCGATTGCCCGCCGATGTCGGCATGCTGATCAGCCTCAGAACCCTGGATCTGTCCAGCAACAAGCTGAGGAGTCTGCCCGCAGAGCTCGGCGAGCTCATCCAGCTGCGGTGAGTGCTGGTGTTGGGGTAGCGGCTAATAGGAGTCTTCAGTAGTACATCTTTAAAAGAAATATCTTTAATTAATTCAAATAGTCAGTTTCCAATACAGTGATACATGACTCTTTCTTTTATATCTTATTGTATTGAAACATCCTATAGTGTTGTGGTAAAGCATGTTAAAAATGTAGTTCCTATTCAGAAATCCTTTAAATAGCGATCCAAATTCAAAACCCAGTTATATTTATTGAACTTTTTCAAGTTTAAATTAAGCACAGTTGTAAAGTTGTATTGTATGATGAATCTTAAGCAGTTTTTCTTGTATATTAAGTATTTCCTAAATAGAAGACGCGTTTTTTTAAAAGTTGCCAAAAGCTTTAGGGATAAATTGATGTACACAAATTTAAATTGATTAAGGGTTACCAACTTTGTAACAAAAGAACCCATATCTAGACCCTCTGTTCGGACGTTAGCCCTAATGATCCCCGTGCATTTCACTAACCCACTCCATCGCCTCTCCTCCTTTTAGGGAACTGCTGCTGAACAACAACTTTCTGCGCGTGCTGCCTTACGAGATCGGCAAGCTGTTCCACCTCGTCATACTCGGCCTCATGGGCAATCCACTGCAAAAGGAGTTCATGAACATCTACAACGAGCCAAACGGCACGCAGAAACTGCTCACCTACATGCTGGACAACTTGTCATGTGAGTCCCCCTATATCTCTCTATATCCCAGTGTGAGTGTCGGCCAGGTGCGTGAGCAGCTCCTGACCAGGTGTGCGTCCGTGTGTGTGCCTGTGTGTGGGGGTAAAAAGGAAAGCACGCGAAAAAGGCTTCCGAAAAGAGAAAGTTTTCGGTTTAACAGCGGGTTCAAGGGTATTTTAACTATCTGATGGGGCTTAAATTGAAAACTTAAATTTATTATTTATTGATGAACGGAACAGACTTAGGAATGTTTTTTTGTCCTTTATCTAAAGATAACGCGTCCAAATATCCTTAAACTAGTATTTTTCAGTATGGTTAGTATACGTAAATTAAATCGGTACTAAACCCAATAGAAAAACCAAAAAGTCGTTTAGTTATTAGATAGAAATTATAATTAGTCGTTAATGAAAAACATTTTCAAATATTTAACAGAAAATCACTGTTAAATATGGGTACTTTTGAGGTATTCTTTAATGCAAGATGTTTTTGTTACAATTTGTAGTTAAAAGGAAAAGTTTTCCTCCGTGCGCAAAGGTGTTACAGCTCGTTAATGCCTTTTCCCACACCAGGATAGGCCATAAAACCTGTTGCAGCGGCCATAATTAAAGTTCAAACTCACGGCTGCCCATTAATGCCGAAAACATAATGCCGGGGCATCAATTAAAAATGTATAATTGAATGCAACAATTACAACAATTGACGGTGTGTATTGGCCGGGCCGAAAGAACTGCACGACCTCGACATGCAAAAGCCGAAAGCCCCAAGCTAAGCTGCTCTCTAAGTGGATGTTAACTTGGCCCACAAGAGAGACAGAGAGAGAGAGAGCCAAGTGGAACCTAAGAGGCAGAGAGCGAGAGACTGGTCTTAACTGGGCTTTTACTGTTAGCCGGCGGGCCTCACTGGCGATCGCTAGAGCAGCTGACTTCAGTCTGCCGCTCGCTTGGCTACGAGGCGGACGCACTTGCTCCACACTCAGCTCCTCCAGTCTCTCTCTCCTCAGCGGGAAACCCGTTCGCGACCGTCGCGCATGCGCCGTGTCTTTCGTATTTCGTAATTGCGATCGCGCCGTGTCCCAGTTTCTTGGCGTTCGCTTTTCATTTCGTTGCGGTGGAATCGCTCGACTCTCGACTCTGTTGGCCAACCAAAAATGCCCATGCCTCATTGAGCGGTGTTGGCCCAAGCCGAATAATAATAATCCAAAGCAAGCGGCCAAGTGATGTGCAATCGACTCGATCCGCAGCCAGGACTCAGTTTGGGATTAAGACAGCAACGACAGCATGAGATCGCATGTGGCCGTTTACAGGGCGCCAGAAACAGCTCCATCATTGCCACTGCCACCATCCTCCAACTACGCTCCCCTGCGATACCATCAGCATTCGGTGAGCCATTGGCCACTGGGGAACCAGCAACAGCAGCAGCAACATCAGCCGGGTGCAGCTCCAGCCTATAGACTGCATCATGGTCCGCCGTCTGCTCCACCGCCCAACTGGGCAGCAGCTCAATCGGTAGCTTCTTCTGGCCAACCAAACCAGAACGGTGGCTATGGCGTGGTTAACCAGCAGCGGATCAATGAGTGCGCCGGCATACCGCTCATCTCGAACGCCTCCAGTCACCTGTCGCCGGCCCAGCGACAGAGATTGCTGAGGAAATCCACCCCAAAAACATGCCCAACATGGCCACCCGGAGGGGCCACCATGTCCCAGCTGGCTGTGCATGCGCAGGGCATGCCACTGCTCCAGCAGAATGCTAAGCAGCATCACCAGCAACAACAACAGCAGCAGCAGCTGCAGCATCACCAGCCACATCATCCACACCATCATCACCAACATCCTGTGACGACCAACTGGAGTGCCTATCAGCCGATGAGCAGTCAGGCAGGCTTCAAGTTGGCGGACAAATCACGAGCCCTTCGCTACCAGAACTCTGCTCCACCGGTGCTCAGCAGCCAGGAGAAGCAGACAGCCGGCAATAATGCATCTACCCAGGATCAGGCCACTTCACCAGCGGCGGAGACCTGTTGCCAAGGATCATTAAGCCGAGGAAGCGACGCAAAAAGGATCGCAAGCCTGGCAATGGTGTTCTCCTCAAAATGGAGTCCGATATGCCGACCAAGCTGACCAATCCTGGAGAGAGTTACGCCGCAGGAGGATCTTATCACCTGGCAAGCGGAATACTGCAGCATGATCATACGCACGGGGTGTGCTTCTGCCGGGAATGTGACCCACTGCGTTCTCTGTGGGATTACCCTCTGCGGCGATCGCTTTCCGATGCCTCCTCCAGTGAACAAGGAGGCGGAAGTAGGGAGTCCTCCTCTTCCACCTCGTCCACGCACTCGGACAGCTCCTGCGATAGCTCCATCTGCAGCCAGAGCCTGCCCAGCTCATCGGCTCTGCAGGAGGAGACCACCGAGGAGTTTGCTCCCATCACCGGCGACAGCAGTCGTGCGGAAATAGTGGGCGTAATCGGATCCCAGCGTAGTCATCCGAGTGCAGTGACCACACCCTCGCAATGCCTGAGCGATGATTCCGGCTACGGAGATATCCTCAGTGGGATCAACATAGCCAACGATCTGTTTGGCAATTGCTTCAGAGGCGGAAAACTGGGCAACGCCTCCTCCTCGATTTCCGCCCAGGCGGAGACGCTGCTGGATGAGAGCCTGAATGAGATATCGCGCAAGCTGATCGAGACTGCAATGCTGCGGATCAGGCCGGATCGGGATTGGGATCGGGGAGCAGCCAGCGACAGTGGATTGGATAGCGCTGGCAGCCACAACTGCGGATCGGGCCTCGTCTTTAACTTTGAGCATTTGAATCTGACGGATGCGACGCCCACAGCCTTGGATTTTCTCGTGGATTGCAACAACAATAGCAGCGGCATAAGCCATGGCAATAGCTTGGGCTTAATGTGGCGCGCGGGAAGGCAGCCAACTGGTGGAGGTGGAGGTGGCTGCCACGATGACAGCCAAGTGGCAGCTGCCAAACTGGGCCCAGACAGCCGGGCCACACCCACCAGGCTGATACTGGGCACGGTGGGTAAGCTGAAGCCAGCGTTTTCCACCATCTCGTGACGACGACGACGATGACGACGCCCGTGGAAAACTAATCAAAATGAAAATCAAAATCAGAGTGCTCATTTTGCGACGATTTGGAGAAACGTGAGACGACGACCAGATAACGACGATGGGATGGCGTGGGCGATTTCCATTTGGGATTGGGAAATGTAAATGTTAAATCTCCCGAAAGCGTTTTTTGAGTTTCTACCCAACCCCAAGTTGCGCAACTCCAGCGAAGACAGCGAAGAAAGAAGAAAACCCATTAAATGGATATAACGCACATGTGAGACGATCATCACATCATCATCATCATCACAGTCATTATGATCGTGATTGGAGCGAAAAACAAAAGGCCAACGAGTTGACCAAATGGGCGCTGTTGGATACGAGATCCCCGGCTAAATGGAAACTTGTGAAGACAGACCGGGGGACTGGAAACCTTGTACATACCACATACACACAGTGCGACTATCCGAACCCGAATCCGAATCCGACTTCCACTTCAACTTCAACTTTCACTTTCACTGCGACGGCGGTGGCAGCGTTTTGTATATCTGTATTTTTTTTAAGACATTTTTCTTTTCTTTTTCTTTTTGCCAAGACCACAGATGACGGAGCTGCGGGTGGGGGTTACGGGAAGGGTGCGACTCTTATGCAGATTTTGTGGCGCAAAAAGAAGAAGAAATTGTAGAAATCGTGTAGATTATACGATGTGAACCCTAGAGATACTTTAACTATACCCCATATCTGTATATCTTATACCTTAAACATACCATTAATTCTTGTTGTTATTTGTGCATTAACGTTATCCACATCTCATAGGGCCCCTAGAAACCTGTCAAATCGTACTCCCCAAGATCTGGGATTTATAAAGGGGGGCTTCTGTGTGTGTGTTAATTTTTATGTTTGAGCTTAAGCAACGTTCCTACATGTTAGATGTGTATCTTTTTATATATTTTTTGGGTTCTATTTTTATGTTATCTGATTAGTGGGTTATCGGTTTTTACTTAGTCCGTAATGCGCTACAACGTGAACTTTTATAGTTGATAAGATTCGGTTAATGCTTAGGTTATCCTTAGATTGGGGAACACAGACAGACAGGATCTCTAATGGTTAGAAGCGAAGTTCTATTGAAAGCTTAGTTATACGTACAATGCGTTTTAAAACGATAAGGTGTTCCAAAATGTTCAGTTTTGATTTTTCTTAAACCTCGAAAAAGTTGTATTACAATTGCCTTACAATTTTGAAACGCATTGTGGTTGGAGAACTGAAAACACATTCTTTCCAATTGAATATTTATAGATTTAAAGTGAGAGTTTCATAGTGTTTATAAGACGCTCATATTCAGCTTACTCATGGCCGATCGGTATCATCATATCATGTTATATCTTCGAATTAAGACTCACATTTCCGACTTTTCTGCAATTTGCGGCCCATGAAACAGCCGAAAGAAGATCTGGGTGCACAATTAATTCCAACTGAGATCGCCAAGCATAAAATCTAAATCTGAAAATCGAGAGCAGCCCTAGTTACCTGCTTAGCTGTTTGTAGTTGGCGGTGGCGAGTAAAAGTTTTCGCCTATTTCTTTTTTTTTTTTTAATTAAAAGAAACTCACGAACGCGCAGCGCGCACAGAAATTGCTTGAAGTTTTCCGCTCCAGCTCGACTTGACTTGGCTTTTCTTGAATTAACTTGGCTCGAATCGTGTTCGGCTGAGAGGAGTCGTCTCAGCATCGCGAGCCGCTGGAAAATGTCACAGATTTTCCATTGGCAGGTTCCGGGCAGACGGTTTGTGTTACCATTCCCCAGATATAGAAATTACCACTCGAAGCTAATTTATTTAATTAATTATATTTTCACTAGCTCGTATTGTTGTGCTCCCCCTCTCGTATTATTGTAGTGTTTTGTTTGTTGGTAAGCATCGTTTTTGCACAAATAACAATCCTATAGTTAACCCATCAATACACCACATTTGTAACCCAAACACACCAAACAATATGGCCAACTTATTTATTTTGATTAAGCCCGAACGAGAACTCAATAAAAAGTGTAAACAAAAATGTCAAACAAAAAGAACTCGATTGCTGTTTTGATAGCCCCGAAAAAATGGGTGTTGAAATAACAAATAAGGTAAACTCTGCCTGATCTAATGAGGCACGTTTTGGGCCGACTTTGGAGTCGGGGAAAAAACAAACAGAAGTCTGCGTTTTTCTGGGCCTACCACTCAGAAATCCCCGATGCACTGCACCACACCACTCGAAAATGAACTTTCCAAACATTAGAAGAGACGCCGCTGCACAGATTTCAATTACCGAAAGCTCTAGAGAAGAGTGGGAACCTTTCACCTGGGTGAATCTGCTTGGGCCGGCTTTCGCAAAAAAAAAAAAAAAGAAGAAAAAGATTAACCGCTGTCATAACCGTAACTGGCAAATTAATTTCTGGGCATTTTGTGCCCGTCATTAGGCTAATTAATGTCTCCATTTTAGGGCCTCATTTGGCGAAGTTCTTTTCAGCTAACTGCTTGTTAAGTCAGCTTCTAAAGAGGCCCGATTTTGGGGTTGCCTCTTTCACAATAGCCGGCGAACCTCTGGAGGTCCGTGCTCCAAGTCTCGACTTCCAGTTCCAAGTTCCATGGTTTCTACTCTGCACTCCGGACCCGGACAACGGACAACGGACAACGGACGAGCGTTGAGTGGGTCAGTGGATAATTGGGTCATTTGCAACACTGTTTGCGCCATCAGCCGCCATCTAGCACTACCACCGAACGAACCATCGCTCCATCGCACCACCGGCCAGCAGCGGTGGCTAATGTGTTTTGGCTACGTCAATAAATGCGTCGCGTTGCTTTTGCTTTTGGCCGTTGTAGTTGTTGCTTTTGTTGTTCTTGGCCATAGATGATATTGCCGCTGGCCAACGAAGCGGGGCCATCTTTCTTAGCGTCTTCCAACATGCTAGTTTTTCTATTTTCCTTCTAGCCTCTGAAGTTTAATTGTTTTTCCTCACCTGCTCTCGCTGGGGGTACTTCAAATTTGTCGTTCTATTTGCCGGGGTTTCGAAATCGTAACCTTCTTGAAGAAGTACTGGAGTTATAACATAGGTATAACTATAAAGAAGGGCTACTTCAAACGGGAGGTTAAACTGAAATTAGAAAATTATTCGAAACTACCCACTAATAAATAATTTGTTCCCAACTTGTATTATTAAGATCAAAAATTCAATAGAACCAGTGACTTGGATTTAGCAATAAAGTAAACCTTATAGAAAACACCAACAGAGATTATCTTTAACATTTCACTATGGAATTAAATTTAAAGAAAGGGTATAACTTTTACCAAGCTTCTCTTCTGTTTGCTACTTTCGTGATTTTTTACTTAGTATCGCTGTCTCTTCCTCCATCATCTCCCCCAAGTTTCCTGGCCAATTGGTCTTGCCGCTTTTCCAGTTGACTTTTCTTTGGCCAGAAATTAGCATTTCGCCATGAAATTGAAAGTTTCATTTTCCAATTAACTTGGCCAGTTCAGTGGGCCACACACACCGGTAGTTCATCACCATCATCATCATCATCATCTTCATCACGATCGTCGTCTTGCGTTGCCCAAGTTCCTATCTCAACTTCCTCTGTACAGACCCACAACAAAAAAAACGCGGTTAATCCGAATAAAGGCCAAATGTCTACGAAAAAGGTTACGCAAAATGTCAAACAGTTAAGAATCCAACTCCTAACGGCCACAAATGTCATTATTACATTTGTTCTCCACTTTTAATGCCGTCTGCTCGTTCGCTGGGTCGTCTTAAAGTGGACGTCTTGCTTTTTGTTGGCACTACTATTTGGTTTTCTTTTCAGCCATTCTCGTGTTGACTTTGCCTTGCATTTTCACAGACAATTGCCGGCTGCCACTTGTCTGGCCCATTAGCCAAACTATACCGCACTATTCATGAGCATCTCGAAGAAGAAAGATGAAGGGCTCCACTTTTGAATAATTTGGTGGTGTAAATTTGTATTCATGTTGGGCAATGTGTAAATTTGATTGTCTGCTAAGATAAAGATAAAGATAATAGAACAAGCAGACGAAGAATTCATTAAAAGAAACGTTCCGAATTCGGGGGAGTTTTAATGAACGCATTATGGGAAAATCTTATACAATAAAAATTGACAAGCCAAATGATGGTTTATAAGAACATAATTAAAACTAAGGTTACTCACTAAAGAACTTTACTTGGTGTTAGTATTATAATAACATATTTTGTTATAACACTTATAGCTAGTAAAAAGATCGTAATAAAGTCAGAGTTACAGAACTGAAAATGTATGTCAATATTACCCAACAGAAGTTAATTGGGTTGCTGTTATTCCGCTCCCATTGAAGATTATCATGCTTGATTAGGTCACAAGTTAGGATCGTAAGCGAAGAATAGCATAAGATGGTCATTAGAACGAAGAGTAAGCGATTGGGACCATTTCATCTGACCAATCATCCACATCATTGCCCTTATGTTAGGCATTTACACTTACTACTATAGAAATATATAAGTTAAGATCTCGCAATGCGTCGCTGCAGCCTCAAATGACGAAATCATTCGGTGGACTGGGGAATTGGATGGGGGTCTAATGTCGCCTGTGACGCAAACTCCAGGGGAAAGAAAGAAGATGCACCATCGAGGTTCGGAACCCATAAATCAAGTGGACGGAGAACAGCCAAAGGGCCGGTGTTAACTCCTCTTAAGTCTTGCTGCCATTTGTGAGCGGCTTGTGCTTCATTTAGTGCTGCCGTATTCGTAACCTATTATACCCTATGAAGGGGTTACCTAACAACAGTTGAAACTTAATAATAAAGCACCTTTAATATAATAATCAAGAATTAACTATTTAGGATCTAACGCTTGATATTAAACTCCTTTGAAAACCTTGATCTTACATATCTTAACGTTTAATAGGTTAAATCCTTAGGGTTCCTATCTTCTAACCATTTGATAGAGCATCCCTATCTTCGGTCTTTAAATGCCCTCTTTAACTTCTGGTTGTAACTTATTCTGCTTCATCTTTACTTTTTGTTGTACCCGCTCACGAAATGGGCACAACATGAATTAATTTTTTCTGTTTCTGGCTTTTTTCCGTTTGCCACTAGCAGTGGCCCACCGTTGGTTGTACAAATTTTGCTGCTCTATGTAGGTTTATAACTCGACTCGTCTGAGTTTTATTGTTACTGTGCTGCCTTTCTGGCCGATGACGATGTTTTTGTGTGTGCTGTGCTGCATACGATGCTGCTGCTACTGCTGCTGCTGCCACTGCCATTATTGTTGTAACTGTTACCTAATCGTTTAATTGGCTTAAGTCAGTTGATCTTTTTCTCCCCTCGTCACCGCTTTGTTATATGAACGTTTTCTTCTTGTTTTCGGCTTTTATTTAATTTAATTTTTATGACAATTTGTGCTTTGTAATGAATTTTAAACGCATCGCGGCGTCATCGATTCCCACAGCGTTTGCCGATTTAGTGGAGCATGCCGAATTGTAATGTGGGAAGAGGAAGTGGAGCGAAAATGTTAAGGGTGCTATCGAATTTGGTGTTACCCTGTAATTAGGTATTATAATACTAAACTATTTTATTTATATTGATATAATATTGATAATACCATGTCCTCATGAAAAATACCAAAGGCAATATAAATAATAGTATGTATATATAGTATATTAGTATTTCCCATAATATCAAAGCATTATAAATAATAGTATATCATCTAAAACATGGAGTTAAAGATTAGTAAAAGCAAGGAATTAAGATTAATAATAGCTCTAAAATATGCCTTTTTATCTGAACAATAATTCTAGCTTTAGTGTTATTTAAATAGACCATATACGATCTTAAGTTCTACACATCCCTTAAAACCTTTAAGATCTATAAAAAACCAAAAGATCTATAAGTTCGAATCTCCTTCCATTTCTTTTTCTGAATAATTTTGATTAGACTGATTTATGTAAGCTTGTGCTCCACATATTGCCCACCTTTTTGGCCAATATACCCCGGCTTTCGCTCCGTTTAAGTATCGTTGGGGATGACAAAACGGCCCCAAACAACTGAAATGGTTTATTTATATAGCGAAACCGGTATTTATAACTGCAATTGGGAGTGAAGAAGCGCGCTGATGATGATGATATTAGTGCCAAAAATTATAATAGTGTGGCGAGGGCAATAACAAAGCAGCTGATGATTTTTGGGGCCGGTGCCGGACCCCGCCCCCTCCGCCCTTTGTGAGTGTTAACGGTTATTTCGGTTACGAAATGTTAACTTTTTTTTTTCTTTCTGGCTGGGTTTTATATGATTTTGTGCTTAGTCATGGCGAAGCTTTTTCCGTTTTTATTTTCATTGCTTGTTGGGCTGATTCGTTCGTTCGTTTTTTTCGTGTTTCTTATTTCTTATTTATATTTTCGTGGAGTAATTCGCATAATTGGCCCATATTTCTTATAAATATGCATCAGTAATCGGAAATGTTTTCGTCTGGTCGTCTCGCCTTTAATACTGTTTTAAATGCGGAAGTGGGCTTACAGCCTGTTTTCATTTCGTTTTTGGTTTCATTTTCGTTTGCCTGTCTTTTCGGGCTTATCAAGGTTGTTGTTGCGTAAAAGGAAGTGCAAATGGTTAGAAAGTTTTATGGCCAGGGAATGGGCCGAACTGCACTGGGAAAAAAATCAAGTATTTCCTGCTTAAGACCTGTCAATGCGAACCAGCAAAAAAAAAACCAAACAAAACAAAACAAACCGTGGAGATTTCTCTATACAGTCGTTTTATGTATTAAGAAGCTATTCTTAATTAAAGACCTCACGAATTTTAGCACTTCATTTCTCTAAAGAAACTTACTTATCCAATATATCAGTATAAACTAGGCTGCTCTTTAGGGTAAAAAGTTTGAAAGGCGTTTATTTATTAGTTCTTCGAATGGTGAAATTTAAAAAGTGATTTCGCCTCTGAGAAAATATGGATAGCTTTGACCAAAAATGTCGAATTGATATGGGCGAAATTTAAGAGAAAATATTTTCATCTAAAGAAAGCTTTAGGCAAGTTGCTATAAATAAGTTGTATATCATTTACATTTACGCATAAGGCTGTATTTATTACCAAAGAAATGGTTCATAATACAAAATTCATATTCAGTTTTATCGTTATACTTGTCTATCTAGATCACAAGTTTTTAAGGATATCATTGAAGAGAAAGGCTTTGTGTTAAAGAGTTTTCTTCCCGATCTAGATAATTTTATTATTAAGGATGTGGTTTTACAAGTGGTTTAAATATAGAGTAGTTTTAGTGTTTGGTAGTTAAAGTTTCTAATTATAGTTCAGTTTTTGTTACTAGGCTATGAATGGTCTGTGTTTCCCCATTGTGAGTGTGAGACCTGCCCCTGAATGTTTTCTTTTGGGGATGGGTTGCTGGATGGTTGGTTGGCTGGTGGCTGGCTGGCTGGCTGGATTGGATTGGATGGCCCATTACAGGCTGTGTCAATGTCAGCAGGCAGAAAGGCAGTATTCAGTAGGCAGTTGTCTCGTCGCCGCTTTCCAACTGCGGGAGAGAGAAAGTACCCGACTTCGACTGCGACTGCGGCTGCGAGTGCGCGCAAAGATTTAAAAGTGGATCAGCGAAAGAAAAATAAACGTAACCAAGCAGCGTGCGGCATTGTTGGCGGATCGCGTGAGGCATCCACTGCCTCCTACGAAGATGCTGCCACTGCACTGGAAAAATTGGGTATCAATTGTCTTTGCCACAGGGAAAGTGGCCTTATCTTATCAAAAAGCAACGTTTTTGGTTTAGAGTATTCATATGTTCTTGATTTTGCGGAATCAATAAAAGATTGTATTAAAATAGAAATTTACGCTATTAATTTTCCATGTAAGGGTTATTCTATATTTATTTTTAAGAAAATACAAAAAATTACAAAAAGAATTGTAACAATGTAGACCCTCTGAAGAAGATATAAAGATAGATATATTATAGTATATTGTAACAATATTTACCTCCCGAAAAAAGAGAATATAATGGATAGATTCATATTTAAAATAGGTACTTAAAATCAATTTAAATTTATCTTTAATCTTAAGGTTTTTTTCATTGTGTGCTGGCTGCTCCATGGAAAGAAAGCCCACGCCAGTCTGCGAATCCAACTGCTGATGGAGTTGGAGTTGCCGGTGGTGCATTGGAGGCCTGGTGGAGATGGGGTGCTCCGGCTGTGTTGGATCTGCTGCCTCTGCATCTGCATCGGCTGTTGCCACTCGTCATCCGCTCGCCTGTGCATAATCACTGTGCGCGCACATTTTCAATTGATTTTCCATGTGACGCAGCACAATTGGAGTCTTTTGAATATGGCGCTCACGATCGGCCACGATCTGTGAAACCCGGCAAGAAATGCAGCGGCAAATGCTGTCCAACTGGTTTCCCACACGCACATATGTACATGTGGAAGGAAGCCCACAATTGTGGCCAAAAGAATAGTGATTACAAATGGTTCAAAAGTTACTTTTGAAATGTATCTTTTTTAAGATTCTTTAAGAAAGCACTTGAAGAAAGGCTTTAATATTAAAAAGTAATGGTATAATGACACTGAAATTTCAACAAAATGAAAGGGATTTCTTTAAAATAGTCATGCAAACCTATAGCATACTATATAAAATCATAGACTATTGTTTCCCTAATTTTCCAAAACCTTTTTTTATGTTTAAACCAATTAGTCAAAATTTAATCAGTTTCATGAGTTCATAGAAAGGTTAATTCTAGTGCTTGATTTATTTATGGGACTTACATTAACCAGGCTTTTGGCAAATGATATTGACCTGCTTTTTAACTTATCACTTCTTGGAGCTATTATTTCAGCCTCATCTATGTTTAGAGTGCCTGAAATGCACCTTAAATTGTGTTTCATTATTATGATTTTAATGCCAGATTGTCTTAAGTGGAGGCATCTCATGGAATGGCGACTGAAGTGGACTGGTCGGGCTGGGACAAGCAATACCAGTCAGAAACTGGCAGCCAGCCAGCAACCATCAACCAGCAACCAGCAACCTGCAACTTGCAACTTGCGATTGCTGAACGCCATTGAACATTGGCAGTCAATTGCTGCTCCGATCGCATCGAGCGAGGAAAAAAACTGGTGCAAATGAAACAAGTTATCTAATTGCAGTGCTCGAGAAGAAGTGTGGCAAGTGGCGAGTTGACTTTTGTTTTCTATTCGAAGCAGGCCCCACTTCAGAGCGATCCACTCCACTCCGACTCCTCTAAACCTCGTATACCCGTATCCCCCAACCCGATTCCCTCGAAAACCGCCTCGTTTTGACCAACCAACGTGTTGTGCATACGATATCGTTGGCCAATACACACTCACATCAAACAGGCTCTGCATTGGCCTCTTGGCGTTTTTAATCGCACCAAATTTCAATTTGAATTTCACTTTCTTTTTCGATACGCTCACTTGGGTTTTTGCCTTTCGAACTTTTGTTTGTTGTCTTTGCCTCTGAGAGTTGTTTTTTTTCTTCTATTTTTTTTTTTGGTGTTTGCTATTGTATTTCATTTCGTTTCTTTTTGTTTTCAAATGCAGCAAGCAGCGACCATGAAAACTTTGGATAGAAAGGGCTTTCTAGTGGCGCCCGAGGAGGGAACCCCGGGGAAAGGTAATAGGTGGGTGGTGGTGAGGAGCTACGGGATGGTATATATACGTATATAGGCCGACACGACATGGCGTGACATCAGGCTGCCAGGCGAATATTGAACCATCGAATGGCAACTTTGAGTTAACCGTGTCAAGAGAGAGTAAACATAATTGATATGCATCCATTAGGCAGTAAATAATCTTGATTGTATGACGGTGGAAATTTATGACCGATCGAGCGTTGTGGATTAAAGAAAGGATCGGAGGCAGTAATAAGTCTATAGATAGGTAGGAACGAAAGCTACTCAAAATCTTTGTAAATGGAACTAGTTTCTGTTCGCTATATGAAGAATTAAGATCTTTAAATAATAACATTAACACCCGTGCTTTACCATGTTTTTTAAAGGTATTTGTATTTCGAGATAAGAAGTAAATTAGCATCTTATAGCTGAAAGCCCACAAAAGAACCAGGCAAAAAGTAGAGCACCAAACAAACATCTTTCAATTGCCATTCGCATATAGCAACCGGTTTTCGTTTTCACTTTTATTTTGGTAATGAGAATTCTCTTAGGAAGTTAGCATCTAACAGCGAATTTTATGTTAAACTAAGGGAGATCTGGGTATAAAAAGGGAAATTATATAACCAAGGAAAACGAACTTTTGCGTTGATAATCTTAAGAATATTAGGAAAACTATCCTAATTATATTATAATATATATAATACATATATAATATTTTCTGTTTTTAGGGATCTTGCTTTTTTAAAATACTACATTTTTGCAGAAACCTATATTATATAGGGTATGCTAAGTAGTCCAACTTTCCACTGTAACACTTCCTCTATGCCATCCATCTTTCCCCCAGCAGCCCCCCGAAAAAATATGGCACGCTTCGTTGGCTGAACAAATTTGTTTTAAAATTTCGTTGATCGCTTTGTTTTCCAAAGCGTTTTCGATGTGTCTGCCTTTTGTTACACCTGTCCATGGGGTAATCACTCACAAATTCGGTGAAATTATTTACCATGCGTCGTCCCACTCAGCGGATGAAGGGAGTTTCGAGTGGGTGCGTGGGTGTACGCGGTGGGTAAAAGTTTCGTAACTGAAGCCCCCGAAGCGAACACCTTTAACCCATCGATGGCTGCGATGATGATGACGATGATGATGATGGTAATGCTGATGAGAAACCCCACTTGAGGGTGCCAACAGTTGGCATTGAGTTCGCTGTCAAAGTCTTTTGTTTGACGTTTTGTAATCCCAGCAACATTTTAGTTAATACTTACGCCTCAGACACAACGATCGTTTTCAATACAAGCACACACGTTACGTTGCTCTTTTTTTCATCCCTTTCTCGTTTCGGTGACTCATTTGCGTCTTCTGTAATTTTCGTTAGTGCCATTTCAATTAAATAACCATTTGCATAATTGTAAAGTAAAGCGCAACAAGAGTGTGCTGGGTCCTAAAAACGAATTGTACAATTAAAATGCAATCAAAGCGGCGTTAATGTAGTCATTAAAGGCTGTCAGCAAAAATACAAAACAAAAAAAAAAGGAAAGAAACACACACACAACCGAAAAACAAAACAAGGCGCACACAGCAACAAAATTATGAACAAAAAAAAAATAACTAAATTTATTAAAAAGTGAAAGTTTTTAGTCGGCGCCGCCGTTTGCACAAAATTACCAGAGGGAAAAAGAAATGCAAAAACAATCAACGAGTCTGCGAAACAAAGCAAAACAAATCTCCAGAAAACCCGCTACCACCTTTTCGTTTTGAGAGCGACCCAGAAGAGAGAAGAGTGGAGAGGAGAAGAGCGAGCCGAAGCGATTGGGTTCCACAACTCCAAAACTCCCATTACCGTAGGATCGCCGCAGAGCGGAGGTACCGGGTTCGATTCCAAGCCGTGGCTCCCCTTGCCGCGGCACAATATGTTGTAAGCAGCGGCCCAGCCACGGCAACCAATTCGAGGAACGGAGGGGCGGGTGTGGTTCGCAAGATCTTCCACCCGCACCATCATCCACATCACCAACATCATCCGCCTTATCAGCAGCATCTGCATCATCAGCAGCATCCATATCATCCTCATCATCCGTCGTATTACCAGCAGCCATATCAACGCACTTTTTATGCCCAGCTGCCCCAGACGCCTCAGGTCGGCTTCGCCCCACCTGCCCCATTGTACCACCCCCTCAGGTGGAGAAACCCATGTGTCAGTAGTCCAACACCACGCAGTAAGTGAATCCCGCAGCATCAGCGATGAGAAGGGTACTCCTTAAGGATATATGTATCTTAGATTGTTGAGTACAACCCTTAAGATGGTAATAGATTAATTATACCTTAGTTAATACGTTTCTTATTATATAAAAACGTCAGTAAGAAAAGTAAAACTAAAGGATTTATCTCATTAAAGTACAAGATACTTTTTAAAACGTTATCGATGGTACTTGATATAGTAAAGGATATTACTAATTAAGGGTCTGTATTATAGTTCTGAAAATTAAATTTTTAATATTATAATAAACCTAGTATTTGGGTTAGAAAAAATATATCTAAAGCTAGGAAAATTCCAATTCATAATAACATTGTGATGGATTCCCATTTATACTTCCTATAAAACCTCAAACGTCTAGTTGGTATGTTATAATTTATGATAAATGTATGGTCATAAAAGTAACTCTACAAGGTAAAAAGTAACATGCATAAGTATACGTGTACCCATGTATTTGGCTGTCCATCAGAGCTGCAACTCGGTGGTGTATGCAAAAAGCAAAGCACCACCTGACTGGACTGGTGGTGCCGCTTTTGCGGTGGGGCAACCCAAGGCAAAGGCGGAAGCAATTTGATTGCTTGTGCATGTCACTTTCACCGCTTGCAATCTTTGCACCCGGCGCAGGTCGGCTGGGGAAGATCGGGAGCGGGGAGAAGTGGTTGTGGTTGTGGAAGAACGTGGATGGAGGCACATGCACAGCACAGCACAGTGTGTCAGTGGGGTAGCCGAGAGATACGGAGTGCTCGTGTGTGTGCCGGGGGAACGCTTTATGTGCGGGTGCTAATTTCATAATCTCTTGCCACCACCACTTGGCATCGCATTTTCACTCGCCCAACTAACCGTACATCCGCGTGTCTTTTTCTCTTTGCAGTCACCGTCAATCCACCGCCCCAGAGGCCCTGGCTGCCACTGGCCAAGCCCAACAAAACGCGACCAGCCTGTAAGTTGTAATTAAAGCTTAATAGCCGTCAGTCGGCCAGCAAGAATTTTCTATTACCGAGCCATTTGCAGTTGCCCTAGATAGCAAAGCAAGCCACTCTTATAAGTCGATTAGAGATATTTACCTGAATGGTTTTTCAAATTGTTCATTTCATTTTTAAATGCTGGAAATACTAAAAAGTTAATTCGTTTTTAAATTCCGACTATTATTTTAAAAATAGATATCTAATCTATAATATCTGTTAAATGCATAATAAATTTATATTGCTCTTTATTGATTTACTATTAACAATTGTTTGCTTAAATTGTTCGTATAATTAAAATATATCTAATATTGTTTTTAAAATTATTCGCTTCATTGATGCTAGTACTATAGAATACAAATATTATGAAAAAAATAGGTATCTAGTGTCTTAGATTCTGGGACTGAACTTAAGAAGTATATTTTTCTTTATTAACTAAACGAATTTCCCTATATTCAGGCATTTTTACGGTCATGTGCTATAATGTGCTCTGCGACAAGTACGCGACGAGGCAAATGTACGGATACTGTCCGTCGTGGGCCCTCTGCTGGGAGTACCGGAAAAAGTCGATAATCGATGAGATACGGCACTACGCAGCGGACATCATTAGTCTGCAGGAGATCGAGACGGAACAGTTCTACCACTTCTTCCTGCCAGAGCTCAAGAACGATGGCTACGAAGGCATCTTCTCGCCCAAGTCGCGAGCCAAGACAATGTCCGAGCTGGAGCGGAAGTATGTCGATGGCTGTGCGATATTCTTCAGGGCGTCCAAGTGAGTACAACGATAAAATCATACTATTAGATGAGAAACTAATGCAAGGGTTTCCTTAACAGGTTCACGCTGATCAAAGAGTCGCTGATCGAGTTCAACCAGTTGGCAATGGCCAATGCCGAGGGCTCCGACAACATGCTGAATCGCGTGATGCCCAAGGATAACATCGGCCTGGCTGCCCTGCTCAAGGTGAAGGAGAACGCCTGGGAGCCGATGTCCGAGGTGACGCAGATCTCGCAGCCGCTGCTCGTCTGCACGGCGCACATTCACTGGGATCCGGAGTTCTGCGACGTCAAGCTCATCCAGACGATGATGCTGAGCAACGAGCTGAAGACGATCATAGACGAGGCGAGCCACAGCTTCCGGCCGGGTCACAAGAACGACTCGAATGCCGTCCAACTGCTGCTGTGCGGTGACTTCAACTCGCTGCCCGATTCGGGCGTGGTGGAGTTCCTCGGCAAGGGCCGCGTTGCCATGGACCATCTGGACTTCAAGGACATGGGCTATAAGTCCTGCCTGCAGCGATTGCTCTCGAACGACACCAACGAGTTCACGCACTCGTTCAAGCTGGCCTCCGCCTACAACGAGGACATCATGCCGCACACCAACTATACGTTCGACTTCAAGGGCATCATCGACTACATCTTCTACACGAAGACGGGCATGGTGCCGCTGGGCCTGCTCGGTCCCGTTTCCAATGACTGGCTGCGCGAGAACAAGGTGGTGGGATGCCCCCACCCGCACATACCCTCCGATCACTTTCCGCTGCTCGTGGAGTTGGAGCTGATGCACACGGCAAGCCAACAGGCGCCTCCCAACGGGCTGATCAATCGCCGGTAGCAATAGAATCGACGCGGCAGACCCACCACCAGCAACACCACCACTACCAGCACCACCCTGATGACGACGACGACGGCGCCGGCGGCCACGCGCACGCCGGCTGCCAGCGGGGGAGCAAGCGGAAGTGGGAATGGGACTGGGAGCGGGAACAGCGGAGGCGGTGGCGGCGGCGGCGGAGGTTCAGGTGGCGGTGTAGCTGCAGGTGGAGGCGGCGGCGGCGCACTCATGATCCCGGGCGGCTACAGGGGACGGAGCTGCAGCAACAGCGGATGCCATCGTCTGACGGCTGCCCTTGGAGCGGCGAGAAAAGCAGCCAATCCCGCAACGCCAGCGGATAATAAACAGGTCACCGCTCCGCATCCCGCTCCCAACTGACGTGGCGATCTGCTCGCATCAAAATTCAGTTTTAGTTAGATACGACATACGACTTTGATTTCTAACCCCCGGTCTCCCAGCTCTTGTACCAATCACATCCCCCTCAAGAACCCTATAAGTTATAAGCTGACGACGTTGTGGAGGTTCCGCCGCTTTGTGCGCTGGATCGCAAAGTGTGCTCACCGATGCAACCCATTAACTAAGATCGTAATCGTAATAGGAAGGAATATAATTTACTTGCTGCACTCCTCTTCCGCGCTTCTCGTTTTGATTTTATCAACTGCACGTTTTCACCATCGAATAAATCCATTATATACAATATGCATATGTCAAATTCTATCTTGAAACACACTGCTCATTCACACAGCAAAAGTAAATCTAAGCTAATTCCGTTTAGCAAAATTATTAGCAGCCGTTCGTAAATAGTACCGGAAACCAATTATGCATTAAGTAAAAAGTAAATTACATTGTGTAAAAATTAAACGAAAAAAGTTATCTAAGTAAAAAAAAAGCAAATTTATCTGATCGAACCGTTTTCTAAATTGGGTCTGAAAGGATTACAAAAAAAAAAAAACTACTGAGTTACAAGATACAAGATTTATGTGTATAGATACTATTTTGGCCAGCCAAGTAAATTGAACCGGAATCGCTCCGGATGTGCAAAGTAAAATAGATCCTTTAACTAGTTGATAATGCAGCGCAGAATCATGTAATGTATAACATTAGAAAGCTTCAAAAATAGTTCGGTCTACTTTTATTTGAATGCATTGGGGTAGGTCGATTTGTGTAGATGTTAATGAATCAACAGAAAATATTCTTAGGGGCGGAACGTACTACATGAGTATTTTCCAAAATATTCCCTAAAACAGTGTTTATTTCGTAGAATTGAGACTCAAAAGAATACTTTTCGCCCCTCTGATTCTAAAGTAAGATAAATGTACCCACCCTACTGTGCATATTTAGACCTAAAGAGATCATATATAAATATTAACTATGTGTACATACATGCGTGCAGCAAAAAATACAAAATAAATGTCGTAAAAAAGTATTTTTAAGTACAGAATGGCCGAAGAACCATCCTGCATGGAAACGTTTCAACTCACACACCAATTCCATGACCGGCCCTCATTGTAAACTCCATTAAATGTCGAGGTGTAACAGATAAATATGTAAACTGATGACATAAACGAGGCGCACATCGTTAGGCGATCTTCAATCACCGAAACCCCTCATCAATATAAATAAAGTCAAGAGAGAATCAAATGTAGATATATACATATTTTATTTCTGATCTATAAGACCTATATGGTGGGGAAAGTATCTCCAATAGCGGAATTCTCCTCCAAACGCTTGGCAATGGGACTCCAAATGTTCGGGCAGGACTTTTGCAGCATCTCCAGATCCCCAATAATATACAGGGCCCAGCGGGCGCGAGAAAGAGCCACACAAACTCGATTGGGCAGACACAAGAAGCCAACTTGGCCAGACGAGTTGCTGCGAACCAGCGAGAGCAGCACAATATTGGCTTCTAGGCCTTGGAAACTATCCACACTTGCCACTTGAATCCGATACTTTCGAGGAAGCTGAAAAGGAATCATTATAAATTGTGTTGCATATTAAATTATATTTATCTACCGCTTTCTTAATGCACTCGATTTGTGCATTGTAAGGTGAAAGTATTACAATATCACTTTGCTTATACTTTCCCTTCTCAATAAGAAACTCAGTTAGTTTAGCCAGCACGCCAGCTTCGTAGGGATTCTCGAAGGACATGTCAGAGGTGCGCTGCTCCGGCTCGTTGTGCTGCACAAGGTACAAGTTTCTGTCCATTAGGCGGACGTCTTTGTATTCCTTCACTGACTCCGAGCAGAGCAATTCGTCGTAAATGCTGGGCACAAGGAGCTCCGAGATGCATGGACGCATGCGGTACTGCAGATTAAGCATGGAGAACGGCATGCCGGCCACGATGAGGCGTTCGAAGAGAGAGATCTGTGGCACCTTAGTGCTGCCGGTGAAGGGCTGGAGCTGCTTGTGGTCGCCGACAAGGATAACGTGCTCTGTATGCGGCGTTAGGCAAGCCAGGATGTGTGCCTCCTGAATCTCGGCTGCCTCCTCAAAAACTACGCACTTGGATTGCAGTAACCGGAAAAGGAAGTTGAGACGAGCCGCGCAAGTGGTGGTCATAGCCAGCACATCCTTATCCTTTGCCAGAAAGAACTGGAAAACCATGCGTAGTGTTTCGATTCGCTCGGCCACCTGATGCAGCTGGTCCTGAGCCACCAAAGTTTTTTGGTAGCTTTCCTCGCTATTATCAAAGTTCGAGTACAGACTTTGCAGGTACTGGAACTTTTCCTTGTATTCGAAGTTGACCAGCCACCAAATTCGCTTCAAGCGCGGTGGCACCAGATCTGGATTGATCATGGTATGTGCATTAAACTTGGATATTAACGAATTTCGAGATTGGGAGCCGAAGCGTAGTATTTCCTGGGTGTAGTGCGAGACTTTCACCAGAAACTTGTCCAGCGAGTCGTTCGTATAGGTCAGCACAATTATGGGACCCGTGCCCAGGACTTTGGCATTCTGTATCAAACTGTTGACCAACTCCACCGACAGGTGCGTTTTGCCCGTGCCTGGCGGTCCTTGAATGATGCTGAACTCCCTGCTAAGGGCTTCCTTGAAGGCTTTTCCCTGACTCTCATTAAAAGGCACATCTTCAGGCAGTTTGTCCAGAGTAAAGGGCTTGCCTTTAAGGCTCAGCTTAACTCCTGGTTTAATGTAGGCTGGCGGTGCTATATCCAACTAAATAAAAAAATTAATAAAGTTAGCAATAGATATTTGTTCTGCTGTAATATGCTTACCACTACATCTACAATATAGCGACGCATGGGAAAATGCTCGGTGCTGCAGGTGCTCAGGTAGTTATGGACCCTAAGATAGGGTTCAAAGAACACGGGCGTCTGGAACATGGTCATTGGACGGTCGTAGATGTTGCCAATGTTGTACTGCTTGACAATCTGCACACTTAGCTGACGATATAAATAAGGTATGTTAAATATTGATCTTGGAGTAGTAGTTACATTACTTACACAACCCTCCTTTAGTTTTTCAGGCTCTGTGTAGCCCACAGTGGCTAGGATTAGATCATCAAAGGTGAGACTAGTTGTTAGACAGAGCAATGCTCCTGATTTTATGTTATCTAGTCCGTTCTTATTAGAACCATCAGAAGATTTTACTTTTAGGAAAACCAGGCTATGACGCTGAGCCTCGGCAAACTGAGGATTCAAAGTCAGATAAGCATTGGTCCACAGAAGACCCTGTCGCTCCTGCTCACTGGGATCTGTTCCGGTGCGAAGCTGCTGCACAAACTCGAGTAAAGGAGTGGAAAATCATCTCTTAGTAACTGCCGCTGCGTATTCAAGTATTGGACCACTTTGTCGGACACTGGGAGTTCCTCTTCCCTAGCCGCTTCCTTGCCTACTAACTTGTCCAGCGTTGGATAAATTTGTCCCTTGACATTATGCGAAAGGTTGCCGGTGAACGCTTCCAGACCTTCAGCCAAGTCGCTTTCACAGGAATAAGCCAATTTCCTGTACATCTCCACCAATTCGTAGCCCTGGGGACTAAGCACTCCATTCTTATGGGCTCGTAGGAGCACCACTTTATGTGGGTCAACACCATGACCGAGTCCGCGTCGCATTTACCCAGAGATGCCTTGGCCAACAGAAGGTTCTTGATCTTGTCCAGCAGCACAGACAGCCGGCTGAAGCGGACAGGAACTCTTCATCGAAGCCGCCCATCTCCAGTTCACAGAGGACTTCAGACATCCACAAACAGGCCAACTCGCTTCACACTATCATTGGCCAGCAGCTGGTTCACGAAGAGATCCCGATCCTCGGACAGGAAGTACAGGAACATGTCGATGGGCGGCATTTTCAGGGCCTTCGTTAAGTCGGTCAGGGAGAATCGACCATTGGCCTTACCATCATTTCCCACACTCCCTAAAGAGGCCTCCAAGTTCAGTTGCATCAAGTAATCTCCCACTGGAAGCATAATATTATATGTAATTGCTAGGATGAGTTGGCTTTTATCGTACTTACCCTCGGGATGCAATCTATGTGCTCCTCATTCTGATTCACCTCCAGGGACTTACCTTCTTCTCCAGATCCTGCACCAGCTCGTCCTCATCCTGGTTGAACCAATCTTCATCTGAACTTGACATGGTTGTATCGTATGATAGATTAGAAGGCGCAATTGAAATCCCGAAAGTGATGAGCAATGTACAGAAATGATTAGCTAAGGGGGAAGAACAAAAATACGGAGAAAGCTTTCGGCCACGTTTCACCAGAATTGCACTATTGCGTTTACGGTAAAACCTCATACTTTTTAAGGCCCCGTTTACACCGGAAATTTAAAATTACGTAATTCGATTATTGGGTAAATCGTTTAGAATCAATCAATACCGAAAACCGGTAAAACTATGATTACGTAATGTATTGACAGTCCCTTATGTGCAATGTTAGAGCAAATAATAATTAAAACAACATTTTAAACCTCAAAAAAACATATATTTATTTAACTGCAGGCAAATACTTGTCAAAATCAAATTTTAAAACTATAAATGCTGGCTTTTTATATATACGATATTTATGAATGTACAACGAACATTGCAGAGTGCATGCAAGCGGGTATCTACTATACCTTAAATGGTGGCCTTTTTGCACGCTTCCTTGTTTGAGCAATCTGGTCACACTGCGCCTTGGCAAAAAATTGTTGTGGCGAAACTTCTTAAAATTGTTTAAGCTATTGCGCGTTTGTTTATTTCTCGTCGGAATAATCAGCATTGCAACGCTTTTAGACATCCATTAAAACCTACAAAAGCAATCCAAGTATGTAAGGTATTGGGTTATACAGAACTGTTTACATTCAAATCGGCCCGCGCTTTTTACTCGCAGCCAAACAAACCAAATGGAGCGAAGTCGCAGGGGCAGGATTCGCCGGATGCCGTCGTCCGGCTCGGATAGCGATAGCTCCACGGCGGGACCAAGTTGCAAGAGGAGCAAGAAGTTCGAACCGACCGAATCCGAGGCAGAAGCAGAGGCGGAATTCATTGAATATGTCGAAGAGGAAGAGGAAGATCAGGAGAGTATGGAGGAAGCGTCTACTTCGCAGGCGTCCACTTCGAGATCTCAAGTCACGCAGACGCAGGCGCGGCAAACAGGTCCGAACATGTCGCAGCGTGTCAACAACTTTAACCTATCGGTAGGGATTCATACTAAACCCATATATTCCTTGCTAATCTAACCTATACTTTCCCCAGTCTGAGCTGTCCATACCAACTGCCTTTGATCGTTGTGGCAAAGTGATTTCCATGCGCCTCACCAACTTCATGTGCCACTCCAATCTGTTCATCGAGTTTGGCCCCAACATCAACTTCCTGGTGGGCAATAATGGCAGTGGCAAGAGCGCCGTGATCACTGCTTTGGCTCTGGGCCTCACCAGCAGTGCTAGAGCGACCAACAGGGCCAGCAGCATACAGAGTGGGTTCTAGAAAAGCATTTTAAACATCAAATAACCTTATTTCCATTTAGAGCTTATCAAAAACGGCGAGGCGAGTGCCACCATTGCTATTACATTGTCAAATGCGGATTGCGACCCTTCAAAGCTGATATCTTTGGACCCCATCTCACAGTAGTGCGTCAAATACGTCACTCATCCTCCACCTACGACCTTCAAGATGCTCGCGGCAGGAGCGTTTCCAAGAAAGTGGCCGAAATCCGGCGCATGCTGCTCTGCTTCGGCATCAACGTGGAGAATCCCATTTTTGTGCTGAATCAGGAGGCGGCGAGGGAGTTTCTAAAAGAGTAAGACGATCATCAGCACCCTTCAGAGAATGCCAACTAAGCTTGTTTCATACTTGCAGATTGGAGCCCGCTTCGAATTACAAACTGCTGATGAAGGCTACTCAACTGGATGTTTGCACCAGCAGTCTGACTGAGTGCCATGCCCAGCGACGCCACTTCACACAAGATCTGGAGCAACTTGAAAAGGTGGGAGTGGTTTAGTGTTTAAAATATCGCTTTTCTAAGTTTTCGCTTATCTAAATTCAACAGAAAAGGGATGTGGTGGCCAAGCAGGTTGAGGCTGAAGAGGAAAAGCTGCTGATACTTAAGGATAAGGAAAATGTCAAGGTATGAAATATGACTAAAGTGTAAATACATTCGTTATCCTAAACTACGCTGTACTTTTCAGGTAAAACTAGAACAGTGTAAGACCAAGCTGGCATGGATGGCTGTGACGAACTATCAGACGGAGCTCGACAATCTGGAACATTCCATCAAACTGATTGAAAACAAGAAGGCCAAGCTGGAGCAAACTACGTCCAAAAAAGAGAGCACCCAAGCAACAATGACCCAGCAACTGAGCGAGTTTGAGGCTACCAAAAATCAAATTTTAACGACTTACAAAGTTCAGGATGAAAAGCTAAGAGCAGCCAAGCGGGCTGTGCAAGATCTGCTCCTAAAAACCAGCAATATCAAAGCCCAGATCGTGAACGCCGAGAGACGCATGCGAGAGGATCAGCATGCGTACGATGAATGCGAGAAGCTAATTGGAAACTACCATGCCGACTTCAATCGAGTGAAAGAGCAGCGGGAGGAGCATGCCAACAAGATGGAGGCGCTGAAGAAACAGGTGGCGGACAGCGAAGAGATAATCGGCCGGTTGCGGGAGGAGCAGCAGCAGATAAAGCGAGAAATCAGTTCGGTTCAGGAAAGAGTGGATGCTGTAAAAAATGAAAGAATCGAGCTCCATAAATCAAAACGTAAGTGAATACCTAATTACTCCAATGAGATATAACATCTTGATTTTTTACAGAACACATCAGTAGGGAAATTGAGGCGCTGTCGCGGAATAAATCCAATAAACTGTCTGTATACGGTGAGCAGGCAATACAAGTTGTTCATGCACTGCGAACTCAGTATGCCGGCTCCAATATGCATAGGATGCCACGCGGACCTCTTGGCCAGTATATCAGTGCTCCCAATCCAAAATACAGGGATCTTATAGAGAACCAGCTGATGTCCTGCCTGCGATCCTATATCGTTAGCTCCGACCGGGAGCGAAAGTCCCTCCGATCATTGCTGCAGAACAAGTTCCCCGGCGGAAACATGCCAACCATTATTACAAGTCCGTTTACGGATCGCGTTTATGACGTTTCCAGGAATAAGGTTCGGCCTACAACGCCAAATACCACCGTGCTGATTGATGAAATCAGGTACATTAATTTTCAAATGCAACCATGCTTGTGCTGAACTCTATTCCTAATTTCCAGCTGTGACGATCCTGTGGTAATGAACTACCTCATAGATATGCTACGCATCGAAACGGTTCTGGTGACGGAGTCGAAGGAGACTGCGGAGTTCCTTACATCCGACACGGAAAATGTTCCGCCCAATCTGTCAAGGGTTCTAGTGCCCAACCTGGGACTGGAGTACATACCATCGCCTAACTATGCCGTATATTCGACTAGAATAAATCCCGCGCGCTATATTCACATAAACGTCGACGATCGCATACGTCAGCTACAAATGGAGCACGGTGATCTTCAGGAAAAAGAGGCTTCCTTGGAAATAGACTATATGCAGCATAAAAAGATGCTGGAAAACACCCAACAAGAAATTACAAAGAAAAGTGCCATGATTGGTCAGCATCAATCGAAGAATCAGCGGGCAATGCAGCTGATAATGGAGTTGCAAAACTTTGACTATCAAGAGCTGCCCGAATATGATCGACTGGTAGGTCCAATTCTTTGTGACTTCAACCATTAAGTAATAAGTTATTGTGTTTTTTCTTATAGAAATCCCATTTGGCTGATAGCGGTGAAAAAATTGAGAAATGTAAAGAGGAACGCGAAATGCTGCTGAAAAAACTGAAGGAAATCGTAGAACAAAAGGCGGAACTTCTGGCAGCCGAAGCCGAAGAGAAGAGATCCCTTGAAGGAATTCATGTAAAGCTATCCACACTGGACACGGAAAGCCGCGAAGTGGAAAGCAAGATCCGCAGCCTGGACCTTCACTATGAGGAAAACACTCGAAATTTGGAGAAAACGTTGCAGCTCGAGAGGAAATTGGTTGGCGAGAAGACGACCATACTGAATGAACTGGAAAAGGCCCGAATCGAGGCTGAGAAATTCGGAGACTTTGTGGCTACGACCCAATCGGAGGAGAAAATCCGTGAATTAATTAGTCGCTACAGATCGAAGATCAAGCAGGTGGAGCAGCTGAACTACAACCCAGAAGAGGTGGAGAGAGGGCTGGCGGAATTGCGAGACGAGCTGGGTCTTCAGGCCCGGCACTTGGCCGTGGTAGACTCCGTGATCAAGAAGCTACGTATGGCGTACCATCAGCGAGCGCAACTGTTCCAGAGGTCGCGACATCACTACTTTACAATGGTTCAGTTTCAGTTTGAGGTAAAATTAGACTCTCTAGAACTCTATAGTTACCTTTAAAAAAATGTCTCCTAATTATTTACAGCAAGCTCTTGCTATGCGACAATTTAAAGTTAGTTTTGAGACCAGTGACAAGGAGAAAACGTGGAAGATCAACGTATTTCCACCCAGTGGAAATGAAACTTCCAACACCAGAAGCTTGTCAGGCGGTGAACGCTCGTTTACCACAGTTTCTTTGCTAAAAGGACTTTGGAGCACTTCAGATCATCCCTTCTATTTTCTGACGAGTACGATGTGTTTACAGTGAGTTGATTAAATGTTTGGCATGTTCTGAAATCCCTAAATGTATATATGTACATGATTTCAGGATGAAGTAAACCGTAAGTTTATTACGGAAATTCTGATAGGCGAGGGTTTGGAGTGGTTGTCTCGTCAGTATTGTTTTCTAACGCCCCAGGATACGAGGGTCGAGGCTAGCAATCTCATTACTGTGCACAAGTAAGACATACTATTCAGAAAAGCGAAATACATGTTTAATTTTATTTTTCCCTACCTAGATTGGACGCTCCCGACCGGTAAATTTAATAAGTATTATATTTATACTCGGAAGTTGCAGGACGACAAAGCATCAGTATCAACTACATTTAGAGTTTAAGCTAATTATGAATGGTTACCTTTATTTTAAGAAGAAAATATAAAGTTTATATATGTTTAAATTTTAAGTTCAATGCTCTTTGTTCCGTTTAAATAAACGTTATTGAATGTACATGTTATATACATTTTATAAACTATTTTAAGATATGAAATTATTCAAAATAATAACGGACTTTCTTCTATGTGGCAACCTTGGAAAACTCCAAGTGGCAACACTTGCGAAGCATTGCTGCACGTTCAAGCCGCTTGATGTGGTATGATGAGTATTAACTTTATTAAATAAACATTTTCTTTCTCATTTAGCCGTAACTATTATTATTTTAACCAATTCCATTTTATTATAATTTTTAGTAATTTAATTTTTAAGAAGTACTTTAAGCGAATCGAACTGATCAAGCAGCTTGACCGTGCATTAGTCATCAGCTGCAAGTAACCTCAAATCGAAGCGGCGACTGATTTGCCTTATTTATTTGTTAAATTCACTAAATTTGCACAATGAGCCGCAACTACAAGGAAGATCAGACCAACGAGGTCGAGGCGCTGGACTCCATATACTGTGGCGACATGCAGAGTGAGTGCATCACGACATTTGCCTAGAAGCCAAGCTCAATAATCCCTCCCTTTTTCCAGTTCTCGCCACGGAGCCACACCACAAATTCCAAATACCCATTGCCACGGAGGAGTACAATGCGGACGAGCCCGCGAACGGACTGTCCTGCAAACTGGTCTTCACATACACAGCCACCTATCCGGATGGAGCACCCGTGGTAGAAATCGAGGAGCCGGAAAACTTTGAGGACTCGTTCGAAACGCGCCTCCTAGAACACCTGCAGAAGACAATTGATGAGAATCTTGGCATGGAGATGATCTTCTCGCTGGTGAGCAGCGCACAGGAGTGGCTGAACGAGCGGTGGGACGAGCACAAGTTCCACCAGGAGGAGCTGAGAGAGCAGAAGCTGCGGGAAGTCGAGGAGGAGGAGCGCAAGAAGTTCGAGGGCACCCGGGTGACGGTCGAGTCCTTCATGACATGGAAACTCGATTTCGAGGAGAGCACCGGCATTGCGGCCAAGCGGGAGAAGAACAACGTGTCCAAGAAGCAGACCGGCCGCGAACTCTTCATGTTGGACACTACGCTCAACGATTCCGACATCAAGTTCCTCCTGGAGGCGGGTGAAAACATTGAAAATGTCAAAATCGATGAGGCCTTGTTCCAGGACCTCGGCGAGTTGGATTTGGATGATGATGACGATGAGGATTGGGTGCCCGGCGCTGACGACGACGATGATTAAGTTAAATGGTTCTCCAAGGCATATTCGTGTATTGTATATAACATTAAATGCCAACTCGTTTATTAATCTAAGTTATTTTGGTTCTGCAAGCTCATTTCCGAAAGGCGGTAACTGGTCTCCGATTTGATGTCGTCCAGGTCGAAGAAGTCTTCATCGCTGTCCTCCTGCTTTGGCTTCTCCTCATCCTGGGCCTTCTTGGCCGCTGGCAGCTTCTTGTTGGGGAAATTCAGATTGGACCATGAGCCAGGCTCCAGTTTGGGCAGGGTAATCTCCACTTTTGTGCCGTACATATGGGCAGAGGCTTTGCTCACATTGACAATCTTTAAAGCAAAAGAATTAGCTAGTTCCTAAGAGAGTCTCGTTGAACTTACACCGCGCAATTCCAGGTCCAGGTCAAACCGGGCATTCTCCTGCTCTGGAAACACCAGGTTGACGTGCAATCTGATGGGATTCAGCTCCACCAGACTCTGACTCCAGTCATATTTCTTGGCATAAATGGCCACTACCACATTGATGGCCGTCTGGTGCCAGTCGTACCTGCACTGCACAACTTTTTTGTCATCATTCTGGAAGGGAAGTACAAAAGATATGATTTGATTTTCTTAGGAGCTCAAGTGTACCCACCTCTTTTACCCACTTGTGCTGACCATAGGCACAACCTTTTTGCGCCATAAACTGGGCAAAGTCTGAGGTTCGTTTCTGGCAGCAGGACCAGAACTTCAGGCCCTCGTGAAAGATGGGCACTCCCGGATGGTAGGTGCACTCGCCAAAGTCGCTGCTTGTCCCGGCAAAGGAGTATGTGCAGCCACTATTCTTGCAGCTGGTCCCCACATCGATGGAGTCGCTGGATTTCTGAGCCACCGGAGTCTTGGTCGCGAAAACGATCTCTTTTAAGGCGGGAGCCACCGTCGGTTGCAGGACGGTCAGCCGAGTTGCAATGGGCGGTCGGGGCAGGGCTTCGCGGATCGGAGCACGCACTTCAATGACCTCGTCCTTGTCGGAATCATCCTTAACTGGCTTCTCCGGCTCTGGAGGCTTGACATTCGAGTGTTTCGCCAATGTGCAGCCCTTGATGTTGAGGAACTCGGTAAAGTCCACCGACTTCTTGTTGCAGCAGCCCCATCCTTTGTAGGCGTCGTGAAAGAAGGGTTCGCCCGGATGGTGCCGGCAAGATTCTGGCCAAGATTAAGGGGGGAAAACGGGGATAGACATGTGCATTGACATCACCATGGCCTGCTTACCATCGTTGTTGGTTGCCGGATCGAAGAGTTGGCCACAGCCTCTGTTATAGCATTGCTCCATGATTAGTTTGTTTGGTTTCGCTTAAATAAGAAAAATTCGCTTAAAATCTAGAATATTCGTAGTGGGAGTGCATAAATATCGATAGCATTGATGTTCATATCGATGTTTCTCCACCCCCAACCGAGTAACGTTATTTTCAAGTTGGAGCTTGGTGGTCACACTGGAAGGTATACCGCGTTTTTTCAAAAATTTTGAATATGTAATATTTATTTATCAATCAGTTTAAATATTTTTTAATAAAAAATCGATTCCTTTTTTAGCTCTTAAAAACAAGTAAATGACGTTATAGCATTTATACCCAACAATTTTATGTTCAAAGAATAATTGTGTTAGAAAATCGAAGTCATAGCCTTCTTATTTTCTCAATCTTACGTTGAAGCTCTTTGATTTTGGCTATTATCTGAACCATGTCACGGTTACACCGCAATGAGAAACATATTATTATGAGAACATTATAACAAGAGATACGATAAACCTGTGACTGCTAATGCCTTGGAATATGTGACAAATAGTAGTTTTCGAGCACCGCTCATTGCTGTTCGGTTTGGAAAGGCCAACAGTGGCAAATGCAGAGCAATTAAAAGTGATAGTAAATTTGGAATTATGTTAATTACCGCCACTGTTTGACCGGCCAATGCTGTCTTTATAGAATTTGCTAATTGCAAGACGGAATTGAACTAAAAACCATTACTTGCAAATCACCTGAAGGTCAGCCATTAGCAATGTTTTTGGACTACGTGATTTTGCACGGAACTGGAAAAGGCGACATTTTGAAATTGGATCGAAGAATGGGCGGGAAACGGGAGTGTTCTCTGGGGTTACTCCTAACTGGTTCCCGGGGGCCCCGGGTAATGTCTCCGCCTTGCATGATTGTTTATTTGTCACACTCAGTCATGTACATACGTTTTCACGGTTTCATTTTCATTTATTGCCCGCGGTGTCAGAGCATAAATGATCTTGCACACAGCAAGAAATATTAATGTGATTTATCATTGGCTGCTGATTTTACATATCTGTAATTGGACCAGTTACGAGATTTTTATATGAATTTTTGAACATGCAAGAATATGTTCTTATTTAAATCTACGTATTTCAATTGGTATATATATTACAAATTTTGATTAAGTAAGTGAGTAAAACATTGATTTAGCATGTCAATAGGCAAATTAAAAGCTATTTATTAAACCTCAACGTATTTGTTTTTCATATCGATCTGATTTTTTTCCTGTGCTCTCGTTCAAATTGTCGTTTCGCTGGAAATTCTTGTGGTCAACAAGGTTATCAACACCGCTGGCATGGCGCTGTTCCTGTGCCGCACTTCAAAATAAAAATAAAATTATGACAAAGTCGGCGTTTTCCGCGGCACCAAAGGCACACATTCAGTTTTTTAACTGCGGCTGTGAATCATGCCATTGCTAATGATCCGTTGCCCATTGTTGTGAAACCGACCGAGAATTGTAAACTTTTTACTGCTAGGCGTTGCAGCTCGGCTTTTCGGCTTTTTGCTTTTTGACAATCACAGAAATACAAATAAATAAATAAATAAGTAAATATATATAACGGGGCGGCTGTGGTGGCGGACACACTGGTCGCAACATCGCCAGTGTCACTGGAAATTAACACCGCCCGTTTTGACTTTAACTCCAGCTTTTGTCTTTTGCCCTGGCCGCCCGGGCGTATACGTAATTTAGCATACAATGGCAGCGGAGCCAAGTAACATGCAATTGTGGCGCTGCTGTCATGTCATGTTGCACAGCACAGATTTCCCGCAATGGCAAAATTCGCAGCATTCCAGAGCCACTGACGATGCCCAAGAGGTGCGTGCTCCGATTGCCCAGTTACTTGGCAAAAATTTGCCAATATTTACTTACCCTACTTATCCTTATCGTCGATTGCCGATTGGCTGCCAATTTCCCAGCTGAAAACTAAAACTAAAGGGATGTTGCAATTAGGCCGCCGCAATGCAAATGATCTGCACGCTCTCAAGTTCGTTTCCCAAGTCTTTTGTTTGCCAATCCAAATTGTAGATCCAAAAAAAATGTTTGGACGTCTGTTGATGTCTTGTTAGTTTCAATCATAATTTAATGGCTTTATGATTAGATGCTTGATTGTTTTGTTACTTTGTTCCAACAAATTTATTCCTAGGAAATCATACCTTAAGACACCAACAAATACGGAAATGTTAGTTCATCAGAGAATTATAAATTCAAATGTGCAGCATCAAAATGCGATCGGTGAATGACTTGTGAATAAGTATTAACTATTTTTAGCAGATATCGCTGAAATAATATAAATCAATTAACTTTGCATATTGTTTTAATAAGCTATCACGTTTTTTGTATGATAAAGACACTTAAAGGCATTTTAGATACCCTACGAAATAAAAGATTTGTTTCTCTTAGTAGATATTTTATTCAAAAAAGTTGTAAACGATTATCATTTTCAGGTATCACTAAAAACAAGTTAAGAGATCCAATTTAAAGTATTAATAATTACATGATCTTGGCATCTTTTATCCTCATTTAAGTTAAAAAACGCTCTTCCTATTGATTTGTTAATAAGAGTTAACACATTTATTTACAAGAAAATTGTTTCTAGTCTCCAGCTCTTGCTCCTAGTTCTCCGGCTGCAGTCAGTCCGCCATCTCCTGCTCCACTGACCACTCAACATGACTCGGGGTTCGACTTTGGCCTCTACACTCTCCATCCTGCTCAGAAGTATCTAAGCCGCGTGGTGTAGGGACTTCCGAAGAAGTTATATGTCGCATAGGCGGTGTCGGGGGTCTGGAATGTGGTGCTAAAGTACGTTGACGGATCCCCCGTCGCCGCCACTGCCACAGCCGCCGCTGCTGTTCGAACAAACAAAGGCAATTTAATTGGGTTTTCACACACTCGAAGCGGCATGATTAATATTGGATTATTGGATTATTGGATATATCTATTGGGCAAGTGCACTTGGAGGGGAACTATTGGGGGTATTAATTGTGGTTTCAGCTGTGGTGCTGTGGTGCTGCGGTGCCAAGTGCCAAGTGGTGAATTCCAAGCGTGGGCGTCACCCAATGACACAGCTCGAAGGTCGCGACGGGGTCTAAAGCTCACTCCGTCAATCACAACGGGCACTGCAATCGCGGTCGCCGACGTCACAGTCGTTAGCCGATTTCCATCGCCTTTGATTGTCCACCGAGTCGTCCGTTCGTCTGACAACGCCCAGCCACTTTGATTAGAATGTCGGTCACATTTGACCAATTCGACTGCGACTGCCACTGCCCCTGCACCATCGGTATGTACACTGCGAAAATTAATTACCTAGCTAATAATACACTTAGATATAGTTAGAAATCCTGTTTAGCCAAAACGGAAATAAACTATTTGGTAAAAATATTTTTAAAGCCAATTCCTAATAAATAATAACAAAGTAATAAATTTTTCATGAAAATTAACAAAAAATGAATTTCCTAAGAATTTAAGACTACCAATTCTTATGACACTGTTCTTCAGGTGTTAATCCTGATCATGTTATGATCCATTTGAAATTTAAAATTTATTTTTAAGTTTTGTAAAGGATACTATCTTGAGTTGTAACTCTTTTTGAATAATTCTTCTAAAATAAGTCTTTTCCTTTTATAGGTTATAAAGACGCCATCAATCAGGCTAAGATTACGAAATTAAATTAGTTTTATAATATTATAAACCCTCTTTTAAAGTTACATTAATTTTTTGCAAAATGCATACCCGCCCAAGTTCGTTGTCTAAGTCTTTTGTTTTATTATTTCGATTTGAGGCTAACCAAATGGTTTCGATTTTCTGTTCATGCTTAGCATCTTATTAAAGCAAAATATTACTGTAAGGAAACCATAATTTAAAGCCTTCTGAAGAACCGAAGCCTGTGGCTACAAGGAAGCTTTGTTTGAACTAACTTTTCTTTGTGTAATTGTGGTGGGTGGTGGGTGGCTGCGGCTGGAGATTGCCCAATTGCGAGCAGGCCAATCGCCGCTCGAATTCATGTCTGGAACTAAATCAGGAGGGGATCGTGGAGGAGGGGAACGTGTAGTAGGGGCGGGGGAGCTGCCATTAATCTACGCCAGTCTTGGGCAATTGTTACGCTGCGGCTTCAGTTATAGATTGGTGCTGCCATAACCATTACCATGGCCTGCGGGCTGGTAGGCCTCCTAGCCGCAGGCAGTCCTCATCAGGAAGCCGATTCCCACTGCGTAACCATTTGGCTTTTTGGGCTCGGGGTAGAGAGAACTTTGGCCAGGCAAAAATTAATTACACAATGGCTCTGGTCCTTGTCGACTCTCTCAGGCTTTTCGGCAATCGTGCATAAATTGTCAAATTGTAAAAATTATCTCAACTTAGCGTCGCTAGCCGCTAACGCTTTTTACGCTCCAGTCCATTGTGAAATGTTGTCTCTCCATTCATTTGTACAATAAGCCTGGGATTCGGAGTCCTACATACAAAGATATAGAAAAAGTTGCCCCATTTCTGCATGCTCAATATCGATATGCAAAAACAGAGCAAGCTGCGCTCGCAAAAAGCGAAAATCAACTGCCAACATATTTTGCATGCGGCAAATGCAAAAGCCGCATTAGTCGCGCATATCATTGACTCCGTCTGGCCAAAGTCTGCTCCGTCCCTCCACCTTCATCTCCATCTCCATCTCCATCCCAAGCTCCAGCTCCATTCCATTCCTCGCCAGACCAGATTCCACTTTGAATCCGGCACGGGACCATTTGCGGTCTGAGTTGAAGCCGCGAATCGCGAATAGCTGGCAGCAATTGTTGCTCCAGCACCTGCTTCTGCTTGGGTCGTTAAGGAAACTGTTTATGTTCTCTACTAGCTAGGGTTATTTCGATTCGTCAGGCTTTTGGTTCTACCAAGAAAAAAATATTCAAGAGTCTAAGCTGCAGACAGACAAATTTACAAAAATACTTATGTATTAATCTGTCTGAATTGTAGAGCTCAATTTATTAGTCTATCCTAAGTCCCTAAAGATTTGAACCCATATATAAGTCATTTATACAAAACCTCGAACAGTAAATGAACTTTTTTCTTAGGAGCTCTCTTAATTAAATTTAAATAAAATCTGTTATGAATTATCATCATTAAAATTTAAAAATAATTTTTAAATGTTGTCCAATTTAAGATTTCAATTAAATACTAATACCAATTCAATTAAATACCAAAAAATAAAAAAATTTAGTATTTTTCGCTCCCAAGTTCGTTTCCTAAGTCTTTTGTTTGAACAAGAAACTACAGTTTATTCTATTAACTTCATAGTTATGTAATAAAATCTTGGCTGGAAATAGTAATCAAGCTCGTTTTTTAAGTCTTTTGTTTGATACTTAAAATTTAATGTTCAATAATAAAATCAAACTAATAAAATCTAGCCGGAAAAAGTGTTCATGTACGTTTCCTAAGTTTTTTCTTGGTACTAAAATACTAAAATACTAATAAAATGTCAGCTGAAAAATATTAATCTAGTTCGTTTTCTAAGTCTTTTGTTTGGTACTTAAAATTGGCGTTGGCATTTGAATGTGTAGCTAACTATTAAACTCTTAGCTCAAGTCCCTAGTTTGATACTTAAACTTTATGTTTGCTTCTATGAGCTATTAAAACTGGATATTTGGAGTTATTTGTTAGTTGTAGGGAACATTTTCTAGGATTTTGTTATTTTATAAGATATTGAAATCGAACCAGGTGGATTTTATTTCGTTCTCTGCAAAGATCCCAGCCAGATAGTCAAGGGATTCGGCACCTTAACATGCTTATCTGCCCATTTGCATTCGCATCGTTTTGTCCCGATCCCCAGCCACCTGGATGAGTACCAGTACATGTGTTCCCCTGCGGCCTGCTCCGCCAAGTGTAAGCTGGTCAAGAGGGGGAGATCGAGATGGGAGAGCATGCCCAGGTCGTTTTGGAAGTGGAAGTCACAGTCACAGTCGATGGTTTCCCCGGTTCCGTCTTAGTCTGCAGTCGCAGTCGCAGTATCTGTATTCATTTCCATTTCCCGCCATCCAATCGAAAAGCCGCCGCACTTCAAAGCCGCTTGGGAGCTGTTAATTAGGCGCTAGTTTTATGTGCGCTTAAAATAATTGCCACCAGGGTGATCACTGATCACTGATCAGCAATTCGAGTGCTTATCCATATAGCCAACATAAATACAAATCAAATGGTGCATTTAAAAAACGAATAATGCAAAAACGAATTGCAGCCAATTTAATGGTGTTTTTTTTTTTTGGTTTGTTTAAAAATATTTTGTCGATTTATTCATAATTTAAATTTAGATTTTGGTTACAAATAAAATAAGGTAAAAATAAAAGGTAAAATCATAATACAATTCCAATTTGAAATATAAATAAAAAAGAAGCAGAAATCATAAGAGAAATACAAGTTACAAAACGAAACTATAAAGTGGTAATTAACATTGGGTTTTCAAGCTAATTAAACTAAGTTATGTTAAGTTTATTATTAGGGGGAAGGGAGGGAAGGGGGGAAAGGGGGAGGTGTGCCAAGTTAGTGGGTGGCAGTAATTAGCTAAGAGGGACGCATTTCCGTTTCCGGTGCTGGTGTGCAAAATTCGTGTGTGTGTGTGTGCGTGCTTTCGTGTGCTGTGTGTGTTAATTACTGGTAATCGGTGTGGTAATAGGTGTGGGGAAGATTTGGTATTCGGTGTGGGGAAGATTTGTTACTTTAACCAACGAGTTTTCCTGCGAATAAGACATTTGTGTGTGGATTGTAAATTACTGGGCAATTATTCAACAAATAACAAAGACATAACAAAAAACACGACTACATATTGCACTAATAAAGCTTTTCTCTTCTAAGAGTGTGTGTGTGTGTGTGAGTGAGTGAGATGGAGAGGCAGCTATCTCTTTCTAGCGTGTTCAGACAGTGCGTTTAAAGAGGTTCGCATTACTTTGCTGGGGCGGCACAAAACCGTATCCGGAGGCACCGACGACCACGCCGCTGGACTCGTCCACTGCATCTGGCGGGGATGGGGGGAACACCACGGGTCCTGCAAGAAAAAAACGGGCAGAAAGTGTGGAAATGTATAGCCAAATATGTATGTATATGTATATGTATGCGAGATATAATCTGTATTTTGCAGATTAAAGAAGTTTTAGTTGGAAATTCTATAATAATTGTTAGGAAATTAAAAAAACCCCTGGCAACCTATTAGATTCCACATATACTCTTTATTTTGGCTGGCTTTCTAAAAGTTCTATAATTGGTTTTAATAAGTTAAGCTTACAACCTTTTATTATATTTGTCTCAACAATCTTGAAGTTCTATAATCTAAGCAAAGACCCAAAAAGGTATGTGCGTATATTTTTAAGCACCCTAATCAAGCACCTATAATAAAAGAACCGTTTAAAAATAATGATTAACTAGGTGAGTGTCCACAAATTAAAGCATCGTTAAAGTTGCTATCTCAAATGAACAACTTCATTGCTATATAAATTTAATTACCTAGTAAAAATCGTTAAGCCTATTTTTATCTCAGAGTTAATGGAATAACTGTTTATTTTGTAGCTATATGTTGTAGAGGAATAAAACCAGACCCTAAACTATTTAGTACGTTTCATTTAAATATACCCATGTAAAATAGAGTTCTTAAATAATTCAAACGAATAAATGTATATTCTATAGCTATATGTTTTTGAAGGATGAAAATTTCCATGTAAATCTAGGATCCCTATAAGTACTCACCTCTGTTCTGTCGAGGATCCCGGACCTGTGTGGCCGATGAGGGTCCCGCCAGCGCCACGGGATCGAATCCAAAGCGAGCCCGGCTGGGGAACTGACCCAAAAAGTATTGCTGACCCGCAGCGAAGGCCACAAAGAGGCAGAGGGCGGCGATGGTGACTAACTGCAAGTGGATGTGGATATTAGGATAAGTTTACCATTTGAGTATTTGGGTATTTCTAAGGGGGGGGAATGGCAAACATATTATACATATGGCTGACGGCATGCACGGGCCAATTGCACTGGTTACACGCTGGCCAAAGCAATTAAGCCATGGAAATGTGTGCCAATGCCATAAGCCGACAATTAAATACCGAACGCAAGACGCAGAATGCCACATGGTACGCTTTCGGCCCGGTCAAGTGCAGTCGCCTTGAGCACGAGCCAGAAGCCAGGCCAGAAAGCCAGGCCAGAAAGCCAGGCCAGAAGCCCAGAAAGAGCAAGTACCAAGTGCCCAGATTGCCGGAGTGCCATTAACAGTTCCAGTTCGCCACCGATTCAATTGCCGTTCTGGTCGATGGCCAAAAGACCTCTGCAATTTGCCACGTCAAATGCTCCAATGGCCCATGACGAATTTATGACAAATATGGCCCAATTTGATCTGACTGCTTATAAGGAAATTGCCAGTGGAAACATTCAAGCGGACAATAGCCCTCTAATTGTTGGACAATTAACATAAATGAGCTAACCTTTTTTGTAATTATATAATAATTCTTTTCGGGGAATAGTTACATTTGTCAATGGATAATATATTGTTTACTAAATTTTTTATAATCTTTGATCCTCAATTTATATTAAATTAAATCGTTCAAAGATTTTATTATATAGGTTAAGGCTAGGTTCCTTTTTTCATTTCATATTAGGTTTCTATGTACTATATTATAAATTGTTTCCCAACCTATTAAGATCCTCAGTTTCATAATCACCTGACAGATATCTAACAGATTTTTTTAACTACCAGTTGAACTGATCCTTTTTGCGAAACATTTAAATATCAGTTGGGTGTCCGTTCTCCGAATTTTAATTGGACATGCATGTGGCTTAAAAAGTGTGAGCGTTTTAACTTTAATTGTTCATTTAACAACCCAGTATGTGGCACCTAAATTGCGTTTGCAAGTGGTTTAGGAGAATAAAATCTTAATTACAGTTTGGGGCTCTAGGAAGTATTCAAACTGATTTGTGTCTCCCAAGAAGCAGTAAATTAAAGTTGATCAGGCTATGTTCCTTTTATAAATCTTGTTTTTTTTTTTGCGTTTGTATCGAACAATTTGAAAGCCTAACAAGGCTAGAGGAAAATGTGCGCTTTATTCAGTTTATTCAATGCACATCACGTTGGGCCGCCACAACTGCGCCGAAGTGTGATAAATTTGTTAAATAGCAATCACAATCACGGCTGCGATTATTTTTCCCACTGACCCCAATCTCCTCGATCGGCTGGGATGCTAATGGGTAATGGATAATGGTTGGTGGATAGTAGATAGATAGACTCTATCGAGGTGGGTGGAAGTGGGGGCCCCATGCTGTGCAAATTGTCTGGCTGACTGGTTCATAAATCCACTCTGTCTTCGGTCCAAGTGTGTCCAGGTAAAAACGTCTTAGTTAAGTTAAGGCAGTCATTTGACTGGCAGACTGACTTTAATCATAGGGCAAATTTGACTTAATAGAACGGGTTTTCATTTTTGAACCCATTTTCTTTTGTGCACCATATGAAACCTACATAGACTGCAACCTGCTAATGCATATGCAAAAATTGCCAAACGTTTTGCTTTTAGGCCTCATTAATTGCCTAATGGGCCGCGCCTTTTTGGCTGCCTGAATTTTCCGAGGGATCAACATCAAAATTAAAACAATCCCTGTGGGGCCAAGTTGCAACAATAACGCTAATTGCTATTAGCCAAAATATGCTACAAAATAATCACAAAATATGCAAACAAGGCGGTCGCAAAGTTGCCAACAAGCCAAAGCGACTTGTGAAAAAAATTGTTTTAATTAATTCGTGTTTGCCGCCGCCGTTGTTGCTCTTGTTGTTGTGCCTCCACTTGTTGTTAGTCATTCAGAAAAAATAAAACTAAAACTGAGACTTTAACTCTATTGCCACATCCAAAAATTGAGACAGTGGCGCAGGAATCGGTTTTACACAGATCCAAAAGATCGTACAGAGTTCTCAAAAGCGACGAACATTTGATCGTTAAGGGAAAAACTGACGGAAAACAAGAGTTTGGGTCTACGGATCTGTCATTTTGATTACTTGAACAGTGACTAATGTCCTATCTGGGGATTAGGCTATGGAAACAGTCTGTAATTCATTTGCAAGATTACTTCGCAAATTTCGACTTAAAATGCGGAAACATCATTAGTTAAGGCAGTTAAATATGACATTTATTCAAGCCAATACAATAACAATTGAAATATCGTTCATAATTTAATATAAGAACTTTAAAAAAATATATAATATATTTTATGTTATACTTAAAATCTAGTAAATTTTTAAATATGGATTCATTGATAATCCTAAACACCTCATTTGTATTTATTTTTATAGAAGATAAGTTGGTTGTTTATATATAAAGATTAAATTTTTTGAAATAAATAGCTACTAATAAAACATAAAGCAATTGGCTAATGAAAACATTTCGTTTTAGACTGGAAAAACATGTTATTCATTTGATAATGGATGTAAAACCAATCAAACGTCCTACATAAATCTGTTCAAACGGAAATGAGACACAAACTGTTGTTGGAGGAGGCTTTCAAAACAGAGCCAAACAAATTGGATCCATCTGTCTTGACCAGTGGGTATGGTTTTAGTATCGGTTCTCCCCTTTCAAGTGTGCCACTGCCAGTCACTCTTGGTCAAAAATTCAATCTTGGCCAGAAAACACTCTTGGTCAGTGGGTATACTCCACCGGGGACTTTGTAAACACATGTAGCCGTCAAAATGTCGTCAGCCGGCAGTTTGCATCTGAAATTCCGCGAATTCCTTTAAATCACAGCCTCACAGCTGCCGAATTTGAAAGTAATAGCTTTGGCTAATTTAGTGGCTTTTAATTGGGGCTAATTAGTGGGTGACTAGCGGTGGTGGTGGTGTTGGGATATTGGGAACAATGCCTGCGGTCTTCCTGGACTGCCGGCCAGCACCTACTCCCACTAAAATTCCAACAAATTAGCCGAACAAATGACCTTAGATATGATTTCGTAATTGGAACTGCTTGGACTGCTATAAAAAACTCTGGTGGAGCAGCAGAAACCACACCAGAAACCACACCACAAAAAAACACACACAATTCAAATATCGGTGGCTGTTTTTGCTACTTTTTTTTTCTATTTTGACTGTTTTAGCTGTTTTTTACTGTTGGCCAACGGCGGCTCATGCGAAAATAAAACCCACCCACCCACAAACAATGATTAAGTGCAGCAACATGTGAGCGTGCCAGCGCATATAAAGCCAAATAAAAAGCCAGGTAAAAAATCACTAAGCCACTTGGAGCTGGAGCACCATGGAGCTGCATTGGAGCACCTTGGACAGCCGACGACGACGATAGCTACATTGTCTCGTTAGCCCCAAACGCTGATAGCCCCTGGATTCGGGGTATAATAGCTCTGTCATGCCGCAGATATACTTACTACCTGTAAATCCCTGCAAGCCGACTTTTGTGGCAGTTGAAATTGAATAACAATTGACTTGTAATCTTGGTTTTCCTTAAGAGTTTCAACCTGCAAAGAGGCTTTTTTGTTATGACAGTTTATACTACATTAATCCTGATTATGAGAGCTTAGCATTTGTCATGCTCTTTTATGATGATATGATATTTTAAGGTATGTGTTTATTTTTTAAATTTTTTTTTTTTTTTTTTTTTTTTTTTTTTTTTTTTTTTTTTTTTTTTTTTTTTTTTTTATTTTTTCAAAAAATTAGGTTTCAAATTTATTTATCAAGTGTATTTAAAAGCCAGTATTACCCAGCAAACAAATTGTCCCCTTCCAATTTCCCACTTAATTAATTGCTTATTGGTTATCACTTATCATAGTTTATGGATCTTGACTAAGGATTGTTAAAGTCTCACTATTCGAGAGTCCTGAACTGCTCTACTTTAGACACTTTCCAGAGGTATTTACTACTATTTCCTCTAGCTACTACCTTCTTGTTTTCAATTTGATTTTTCATTTATGCACTTTATGGCATTTATTGGCGTTAAGATTTTGATTGGCTTTTAGTGTGTGCCATAAAATAAATTATGTTTATTGCTAGGCGAACTCTACAGGTAATCGAAACCGCACTTTCAATGATTTCGAGTTGACTTTAGAAGTTTTGGCTGCCAAATATACCCGAAAAATTTGCATGACTCACGGGAAAAGCTAAAGAGCTGATGGATTGCCAGGTGGCAGGCGAGCAGCTGCTAATTTATCTTGTTTATATTTAAACTTTAACCGATTTGTCATTTGCCTGGCTGGTCGTTTGTCCATTTGAGCGTAATTAATTTCATGTGATGGAGTTTTCACATCGCAGATAGAAAAGTGAATGTGATTGGAGCGAGACAATTGAACTCGGGCACCGAACACGAGTTATTATTGTTATCTTTTGTTAACGATAGGCAACAACGCCTTCTTTTTTTCGTTTTTTCTCATTTTTGGCACAGGGGTCAATGCTCGATTGAGCAACAATTTGGCTGACTTTCAACACGGAAGCTTGAGTTAAGAGTTAAGAGCTTGGAGCTGGGAGCTCCCCAAAACGCAAATAACGCCGCTTGTCCGAAGCTGGATCGCTGCAAAGTGTTGGATGTAGTAGGTGCAACTGGCCAACAGCCTCAAAAAAAAACAGAAAAAATAACCATGGCTATAGGAAAAGCAAGGAAAAACCCAAAAACAACAACTGCCGCTTCAAATTACTTTGAATTGCGTTTAATAGGTGGGAAATGGAGTCAGTTGGCGACTTCGTGGCCAGCTGCCCCGCTGATTGTTGCCCAACTCTATTGTCAATTGTAATTGAATTATTAAACATCAATTTGGCTAGGAAGTGCAAATTGCCAAACGTCGTGGCAGCGTGAGAATCGTGATATTTCGATTTCTAGATTTTCTGATATTTTTCCGATTTTTCTTTTTCCTGCCAGTGAAATGGGTTCAAGTTCAAACTGGTTTCCAGCTGCAAGTCGGGCAAATTTGTATCGTTTAGAGTCTGACAAAATGCCAAACACAGCGCCAGACGACGACGACGCACATGCCTCATAAATATGGTAATGGACCGCGAATATCTATACCATACTTTTCGCAACTGGCAAACCGTGGCATGTGGGCAGTATTTTGTTTTTGTTTTTTGAGACCCCAACTGGACATGTGTACATATGGCATGCACTTGCCATGGGTACTCCACCACCGCCGACTGACCTGACGACTGGCCAACTGAGTGACTGACTACATGGACACATGGTTGCCCGATCACCTGGCTATCCGAATCCCGCACTGGAGTCGTGCTATTGCGACAGCCCAGAAATCCAGCCTGAAATCCTATTCAAACTCCAACGCTAATCGCCGTCCAGCGACAGAAAAGCATAATAAAAATTGTTGAGCCCGCTCCAGGTCCGATGGGACGATATCGAATGACATGGCCTGGAGCCCCAGAAATCGGTGCCTCCTGCTCGGGATCGGAATGTCCCACTCCTGCCAGAGACTAGAGTGTTCAACACTCCCCAAAACTGACATAAATGCTGCTCCTTGGAAGAAGTTGGGCTATACTTTCTGAATCAATGAAACGGCTACATGCCTTGATTAATTTACTAAGTCAAAGATTTTTAAATTAATTTATGTTTAAAGTGATTCCTTAAAGGGTAAAATAAACTCCAAAAAAATAAACTATAAGATGAACTATAATTTAATTTAATTTGTAAATTACTATTATTAAGCAAAGTGCATTTTTAAAAGTGAAATATATTAAATATACAAATTTGGAGCTATCTATCGTATAATTTTATATTCATGGGAAAACTATTAAAATATTGAATTCTTAGATGTTTTTTCAACGAACAGGCGTGAGCATACACAAAAATGTTAGGATCAACTTATATTTATAAGGAAGTAACAGTATTATTTTACGATAAAGAATGTTAAACAGATATTGAGAAATTCAAATTATACGAAATTTCATTAAACGATTATCAAGCAGTTGAAATTACATATTTTATCTCCTATCCTAAAAAACCTATCAAAATGTATTATGACATCCTAAATCAAGCTGTATTTATAATTTTTCCAATATTTATGTAGAGTTTTTTTTATATTGTAGTGTGTTGACCAGAGCACAAAGCCAAAACCAAAAACCGAAACTAAACCCAAACAAAAAGCAAAGGCTGCGAGCTACGAGTAATTATGCATGGACTTGTGGACTTGTATCTTGTCATTGTCCCCGTACTTGGTCATTGGGCAATCGGCACTTTCCGGCGTGACATCTTCATTAGGGGGAAGCCAAGCGCAACCGAATCCAAAGACCCAGATCCGAAAACCAAAATACAAGGTACAAAATGCGACATCAAATCGTACAAGTACGTATGGCAATTAATTTGAATTTCCACACGCAAAAGGCAGCAACATTGTAGGTTGCCTATATATACCATGCTATATGGTAAGTTGAGATCTGGACGGACATCTGCTGGATGCCAGGCTAAAGCGATTAACAGAGCTGGCTGGGAGCAATTAATAAATCTTGTTCGTGTGCATGGTCGAATCCTAATCGAGAGCGACGTTGATTGCGGTTTCCCAGGGTGCCAGTCTTACCTGGATAGACCCCCTTTTCAGCACCCCCTTTTCAGCACCCAATGCTCGGGGAATATTGCATAAGCCTAAGCCATATTTTCCAATGCAATGCACGCTTGCATTTTTATAATGTTTAAGTTTGATTTTGAGCTGTCTTGTTTTTCTTACATATTTTTTTATTTTCTTGCGAATTTCCACGCACAGTTGCGGTTCATTTGATTCATTCATGACTGCATCTGGGGTTTGGTTTTATGTTTTTTTTTTTTTTTTGGTTAAGAGCCGGCTTGGGGACACGCAATGGAAGCCGAGAAGTTGGTCAGCCGGCCACTGGAGTGGCCATATCAATTGGTCTTGGCTTTGGCATTTCAGCTTTTAGCTTTTGGCCATTGGCGCGTGTGTATCGCACTTTTCAATTAAGTTACAAAACGCATGCCCAAGCACGTTTTTTCGGCTCGTTTTCTTGTCCAATCTGTCTGCCGGCAGTCGGCGAACTCCGAATCCCCCATTCCCACTGCCCAAAATCCACCCCGGATCACAGATCTCTATGGCCTTCATCGTGAACTTGAGAGTTTTGTATTTTTTGTGCGATTTTGCGTGCGTTTTCCCATGTAATTGCGGGCTACTCGACTTGATTATAAACTGCGTGGCGGAAACTGTTTGGACTTCTTATTAAATATGTTTACTACTATAATTTCGCGTTTCATTGACCCATAAACGGTGACATGATTCAGAATGTGATGGGAAAAAAGGCCAGCGTTTATGAAAATTAGTTGAATTAACCGCTTGGATTTACCCATTTGAAATAACTACGTAAATCTGTTTATTTGGTCTTGAAATGACTAATGGAACCTCCAAATCATTTAGCGGTTATGGAATTTTGAATGGTTTAAGAAAATGTAAATATATCTTTAAAAAGTTCATCATTGTTTATTATATAAATCAAAGAATTTTAATTAGACCATAAGGAAAATAATAAAAATCATATTTGGAATCAGAAATATTAAAAGAATTATTGCTTGACTTAAATAAACTGTGCTCAAGCAAACATTCAAAATTGATGGTAATATTATTCATTTTCAACCATTAACATTTTAATGTGCTGATTAAAACAACTGGTTTTTTGAAAAAATCAAATGAAAGTGAAAATACAAAATTACGAAATACAGACTTTTTTATGTGATATTAAAAGAAATGTTTAAAATCAGAAATTGAGACTGGGCAGCATTCCTAACTCGCTCATAAAGCCAGCTATCAAGATCGAATTATGCCGAGAAACCTTGATTGAAATATGCATATTTTGGCCATACGCATTCAAATTTCAAATTTCCATCAAATTTTCAGCGCCTTGAACATGGATGGTCAGCGATCACCGGTCAAATAATGCACATAAACTTGGTATATGGCTTATATGGATATAGAGATCTATAGAGGCGGTGGCCTGGCTTTCATGGCCCGCTGACACACGACTCGGTGGACCATAAATTAGAGTGCCAGGGCCCAATAAAAATAAAAATTCTTGCGGAGCGAACAATGCCTCGGCGGCAGTCATTTGGCAACTGTCAAACCGAAATAGTTGACTTCATTTGCGGCTTAAACGAGGCTCGAACGTGTTAACAATTACGGGGCATTAGCGACCGATGCAAAAATGCTGTGACAATTGTGGCGAAAAACGAAAGACTCAGGCAACGAACTTGCTGCACAAAGTGCAATGAGGAAAAACCGAAAAAAAAACGAAAAATACTTACGAATTTCATATTTGCTGGTTGATTGAGCTGGGCTAATATGTGTTTGCGTGTGTGAGAAGCTGCAATTAGTTAGCAAATATTTAAATTATATATTAGAGTTTAACACTGGCACTTTTGTATTTAACACGAAAACGTTTTTTTAGCCTTTATAAACCATTGGTATTTGGTATGAATTTTTTACGTTTGTTTGGTAAATTCTTAGGTTTCGAGTTTCGTAATGCGTTATTTTGATGGGTTTAGTTTTTTATTATGTTGGGTTATTTATGGATGACAACCGACGAGCACGCGAAGCCAGGAAAAACTGAATCCAAAGGCTGTGTGAACTGCGGAGCATGTAGTATGTAGTACCAACTCGCACTCCAATAAGCTGGGGTCTTACACGATGGAGCTCTCGGGTTTTCGGAGTTTTGGATTTTTGAATCTCGGATCTCGAACCGCTGTACGTCGGCCTGTGCGGTAAAACGTTTAATGAATTCCAACAGATATGCTCAGTTGATTTTATATAAAGCATGGCCCGAACTCTGCCGCCGTCGACGGCGCAGCCGTGCGTTTGTTTTGAGTGGGTTTTGGCCTGGGGATTTGAGTGAGTTTTTTGTTTGGTTTGGTTTGGATTGTTGGGTCTACGTGCCTTGGAGTATGGTGTATGGTGTATGGGGTATGGGGGTATGGTGTTTTGCATTCACCCCCGGCCACGTGATGTTTGTTCTCTGCAAGGGAATCGATTCATGTTAATGGCTAGAGTGCAGCAGTAGCGAATTCAACTTTCTAGCGAATCAATATTCATCGTCTTGGTTCCGGTAACCAGTTTTGGGTTCGGTTTGGGCACAAAACGGGTCGACTCGATCAGCTGCTGTTCGAAAACGACGATGCTTATGCAAATCCGTGTATCTAGCATATGTAATTGGAAAGCTGGCAACACCTTGACTTGATTGCAGGTGAAAAACATAACACTACAGCAGCGACATTTGGCCATTTCCGCCTCTGACACTTCCACTTGACCGTGAAAATCGCTGGATATTCGCTTGATTTTGAATGACAATTTACGTTACGCTCGCTCGAGTATCTAAGAATGGCAAATATGCATAATCTGAATCATAATTATAAGATCATAATACGAGCGTTCTCAGGCGGAAGCGTTGGGTTCTATGATCTATGGCATAAGGCGGCATCTTTTTTATTCTATTCCACCCCTCTTAAATGTATCGTTAAACGATTGACATTTGCTGCCGCGTGTGGCCCTTAAAAAAAATAAGCAATAAATGTGAAATTCATGAGGAATGCCTGTTATGCTTGATTAGCTTTAATCTTATACGATTTGCACACTTGTTTGCTGCTATGCCAGCAATGCGTTCGTGCTGTATTTTTTATGTTTTTTGTTTTTTATGCGACAAACAGAGAGGGTCAGTCAGGAGGGAAGGGGGAAGGGGGGCCGGAGCAAGTTCAAGTTCAAATCTCAGCTGGCCACAAAAGCTCCTTGGCTGGCTGCAACCGCCAAAGTCGAAGCGATTGACTAATAACTTATACTCTTCACAAAGGGTTGCAGCAGCTACTGATTGTGTTCTCAGATAAAGGTTGTTTTAACATATTAACAAAATCTTTAACATTTTAGAAGACCTTGGAAAAGGTACAGAAGTTATAAAAAATATTTAGAAATATTATTTCAATTTAAGAATAATGTATGTTTAAAGAACATATAATTTGATCATGTTTATTGATTGATGAGCATTTTGAACTAGTGTTAAACACATTTGCTAATAAAGATGTAATACTTTTGTTTTTTTTCATCTTGTTTTATTAGTTTATTTTTTTAAGTTTCTTAAATTAAAGGTAGATGAAAAATATACTAATATTTTACCAGATTTGAAATGTCTATTATAGTTTAGAAAGTCTTTATTTAATCATACTTAAGTTCAGTGGTTAAAACATAAGTTAAACTAAAGTAAAATACCGCTTTACAGATGTTAAAGTATTTAATATTATATCATATATATATATTATATATATATATCATATCATATCATATCATATATATATATCAATATATCATATATATCATATATATCATATCATATCATATCATATCATATCATATTATTATATCATATCATATCATATTATTTTTATATCCTAACATAACTTAGCTCTTTCTAATCTTTTTTTATCTAGTAATTTATGGCTTTTTATAAGATTGCTTTTAGTAATTTATGGTTATTTAAGATAATATCAAAAGTGCGTAAATCTAGTCTCAGCCACTCCGTATAGACTCGAACTGATTTTTAGCATAATTAGGGTAATCCCCTGCAGCTAGCTCCATGATCGAACCCCAAACATTTGGTCAGGGCATTGTTTTACTGGCCTTCCGTTCTGTTCTCTTCCTTCGGTTTTTGCATTGTCTTCACTCCACTCCATGGCGAGAGGGTCAAGTTCAGTTTCAATTGCTGTAAGCGAGGCAATTAATGCGGCTAATTGTCGATTGCCATTGATTTATGCTGAATCAATTAGCCAATTGCCTTGCTGGTACTTTTGGCTTGGCTTTCTTTGGTTTTTTTCTTTTGTGCGGCAGCCAGTATCCCAGTATATCCAATCACCAAACGGCCTCAGATTTGCCCTGTCTTGGCCTGGCCCCCAGGTTATTGCCTCTTTGAGGAATTGAGGAATTGAAAAGTGCGGCTTGTTTGGGCCCGATCTTGTCCGCACATGACAGCCGATAGCCGTAGTTTATAAATGAGCTTTTAAGTGAGCGACTAATTGCCAGATTCTATCTTCTACATAACTATTCTATAAATACACACATGATGCGATGGTCTAGCCATGATAATTGCCGCCTGATGAGTGGGAAACTCTGACCCCCAGAGCGATTAATCACGACGATCAGCCACTTTCATTAGGCAGCTTATCAAAACCGCCACTCCCCGAAATGCTGGAACCCAAAAATAAACGCCATGTCTCACTCGAATCCATGAGGAAGTCAATCTCGATCGCACAGGTGAGTCAAATATTGCGGGGCGACAAGAACGAATGAGTCGGCGGAAACTGGCTCAGATAATGCACCTGTATGGTTGTTGCAGTTGCTTTGAGAGAGGTGAAAAGTGAAATGATTTCATAAATGACTGATATAATTAGGCACGTTATATGCCAATTAGCGGCGTGTTGAGGAAGCAACCTCCGCGAATCTCCGCCGCCTTTCACAGGTGACACACACTTGTGTGTATCTTGCACCGTTAGCCCGGCTAATTGTGCCCAAATGTGCATTTGAATCGGTAATTATAATTCCGATCCAAACCGATTTAATCCGATGCAGCTGCATTCCAAAGTTCCTGCTGCATTTGCATTTATTAGTCGTATATATTCTCACGACCAGCGACCTTGACAATGACCCCGAAAAGTTGGCATCTAACGCACGCCGAGGAGGAAAACTCTTGGCGTTGTGGAACTGGTTTTCCCGCCCCGATTTCCACCACTTGAGATTCGAAACTCGAGATTCGAGATCCAAGATCCGAGTGCCAAAAGACCCGAGGCGTGAAGGCGCCAATGTGCGTGTGCAATAAGCCATAAAAACGTCTCACATCATGACAAACTGGCTGTGCGTTGTTGGCGTTGTAATCGGATCCAAAGCTATTAATATGCAAACAGGTTGGACGCGTGAATTAGGCGCCAAAATGAGGGGGGAAACTGTCCAAAACAATAATTTGCATTCATCAATTTAGCAGACTTAGCTGCACTTCCGCTACAGTTTGCAAATTGTGCCATATTTGTTGTACATCTTTACCATAAATTTCAAAAGTAATTTATCTACTTTGTAACTATGGTTAATTTCGTTACAAAGATAAGTTAAGTTATTTTTTGGTAATTTTACCATCCACACAAACATTTCTGTCATTTAAATTTATCAGAAGTTGACTTACGTTGAACTATGCAGGCCCGTTTTTCTTGATTTTTTACGATGTGCTTCCAAAAAAAATGGGAAAATACATCACCTGGGACTGAAAATCAAGATTATTAATGTGATTTAAAAAAAGAAGAAAACTTTAAGGGCGTTTTCCTAAAAAGAAAAACAACAGCTTTAAGCTTAATAAAGCTTAAACTGTTGTCTTATTTCTTTATATTTTTTCATTAATTTATATTTATTAAACAATTTTTAAAACTCAAAAAACTGGAGTTGACTTTTAAATTTGATAACGGTCGATATAAAGTTTAGATAACAACTCAGCAGTGCAGTGTGACCAACAATCGATAGGCGCCGAGAAATGCCAATAACAGTGACTCACAGTTGTAATAGGCCGGCGAAAAAAATAGTTAATTTCCATGTATGTAGTTCTATTGTAATTGCTCAAGACCGGCGTAGATGGCGTGCTTTTATTATTCTGCTATTGGGGGCCCAAAAGTTGCGCTCTGTTAATCCAAGTGTGATCAACCATCGATAGGCTGGCGATAGTTGCCATTCACAGCTAGTGACTCACAGTAGCCCACCACTAATAGGCCGGCGAAAAAAAAATAGTCTGCAAATATTATTTTCCATCTTGCATCTCACTTTTTTACTGACACTTACGTTGGCTTACGTTTTGCCGACACTTACGTTTTGCGTTACGTTTGTTTTGTAAAACGAAATCACCCCACCACCCGTCTCTGCAAATAAAATAAATCATCCGCCACGGATGATTTAAATTAAATATTGCAAGTTTCGAACCGTGTATGTTTTCCGTTTCATCCAAGTGGGAGCCATGACCAATCCGTCGCTCGCACACTGTTCCCTGGCGCTGCTGGCGCTCCTCGTTGCCGCATTGCGGTGCTCGGCGAGGATAGTCCCAGGGAGCCGGACTACATGAAGCGGGAGCACAGCTTGGTGCGTCCATTCCAAGGTGGGTAATTAAGCCCTCTGATAAGAAAAAGTACGTGTACCTCTAACGTGGCTTGGGCTCCTCCTTTGCAGGCGTGGGCGTGATCCTGCCACATTGGGACTTCCTGGGCAACACGATGGTGACCAGCAACTACATAAGACTGACGCCGGATTTGCAGTCCAAGAGCGGCGCCCTTTGGAACTACTCGGTAGGCCCGGGTTCTTTTTCCCTGACCTTTTGGGTCTAATGTCTGTTGTGTTCACTCCCCAGCCCGTGATGACGCGCAACTGGGAGGTGCATGTGGGCTTCAAGGTGCACGGCAAGGGCTCTGAACTCTTTGGCGACGGCTTTGCCATTTGGTACACCAAGGAGCGCATGCAAACAGGACCGGTCTTGGCAGCAAAGACCATTTCTCCGGGCTGGCCATCATCCTGGACACCTACAGCAATCACAATGGACCACACAATGTAGGAAACCGTAGGGCTATGGCAAATCCTTTACTAATCTTGAATCTTGTAGCATCAACATCCTTATCTCAGTGCCATGGTGAACAATGGCAGCTGGAGCTACGACCACGATCGCGATGGAACGCACACTCAGCTGGCCGGCTGCGAAGTTCGCTTCCGCAATGTGGATTACGAGACGCTGGTCAGCATTCGATACGAAAACGACATTCTTTCGGTGTCTACGGATCTGGAGAACCGCAATGAGTGGAAGAGCTGCTTTGTTGTCGCCAACGTTGAGCTTCCCACCGGCTATCACTTCGGCATGTCCGCCACGACGGGTGATCTGTCCGATAATCACGACATCCACAGCTTCAAGTTCTACGACCTGGATTCCAACGTCAACGTAAGTTCACATGTGTTTGCCAAACCTCGGAAGGGGAATACGCTTTACTCAGCTGCCAGCTTATCGGCTTAAGAGTGCAAGGAACCCGAAAGCCGGGTCGAGTTTCGATATTTGTATATAAGTACCCTGGGAACAAGCGTCTAAAATAAGAATGAACTTGTTTTTAATTGCTCAAACTTGCTATAATTTAGCAGGAGGCATCAAACACATTGTTCAATTTCAAATTGAAATCAAATCGTATTAATCTTTCAAAAGCTACAAAAATGTTATCAAGCAAACACGATAAAGATGAGTGTTTTATGAATATCATATTACTTAAAACCAGCTTTACTTTACTGGTTTATTAAGCCATAATTTTCTTTCGTTTTCGCAGCACGATGAGATTATCCGACGCACCAATATCATACCAAATGCCAAGACTTTTGAGCCCCCGCGTGAGCACAAGGAGGATCCCAAGCCGGGAATGTCGAACGCCAAGATCTTCTTCATCCTGCTGTTCGTGGTAGTCGTGGCTGCTGCAGTGGCTATCTTCGCCATCTCCTATTTCAAGGATCGCAATGCGCGAAAACGTTTCTACTGAGCTCTTTTGCCTCTCGCGCTAGTCCATCAAAGTATCACGTTAGGAGTATCCCGGACCTCAGTTGATCCCAACTTTTATTTATATTTGCGACTGTATCCCATTTCTTATCACCCTTATTAGTTTCCTTAATTTTTTCGTGAGAGGGTAGACATAATATTACACGTGTTGGAGAGTTAAATTTAAGTGCAAATTTTTAATCTGAACTATAGGAAAATTGAGACCGTGAGAATATTATTGCATAGACAAGATTAAAAGCCACCAAACAACAAATGCATGCGCTTCTCAATTAACCTTCCATCCGCTGCTAGTGCTGACGCCCAGCTAGCATGGACTCAATCTGGCGCACCTGGTTGCTGACAAACCGATCCCGGGCACTAGTCTCCTGTCGCTGGCCCGGCGGCTCACCCTCCGACTCCAGGGCGTCGTTAGACTTGTGCATGCCGCTCAGAATGCACTGCTCGAAGAGCGACTTGGACCGTGCATCATCGTCCTCGTCGTCCAACGAGTCATCCGAACTGTAGTTCGGCTTATCACCATCCTCCGGCTGCTTCTTTTGTCCATTTGTCCTGGACAGAGTGCTGGTGCTGGCGTTGGCCAGACTGGATGTGGTACTGGCTCCACTCGGTTGGGGTCGACAGCTTCCCGCCGCAATGGCCTATAAAAGAAAGTAGATTAATAACTCTGAGGGTAGCAAATCTCTAAAAACTAACATTCCAATTGCAAATTCAGTTAGTCACTTGTTCATAAGTGTCTTACAATACTTTGTAAAGCTAATTAAACAAATTTTATGAATGAAATATACACATTCTATTGGAAACTATGATCGCTGGTCTTACCTGACTAAGTAGATTGCAATCATCATCCGAGTCCATGGAGAGTGAGCTAAGCGAGTCACTTTTCTTCGGCGGCAGACGCGGCTCTGCTTCCCCTTGGACGGCGCTGCGTCTGGGAGGAAGCTTGGGTGCCTGCGCCTCCTCCGGATTCCTCAGGGGAAGCTTCGAAACGGGCCCTGCCGTGCAGGAGCCCACTGTGAGATGGGAAAGTCCGGAAATGACCGAAAACGTGCATGGACTATCCTCCACATAGTACTTGCTCATCTCATCCGACACTGGCAGATAACTGGGCAACGCACTGCCGCCGCAGCGCATTTTTGAGATGGCGTCCTCTGCCGGCATCCGAGTGTCCATACCGGGAACTTCAGCTCGAGGCGCAGGCACTGGCGGCTCCTCTTCGTTGACATTTAAATCGTTCGGTATGGACAGAATAGAAAGATCACTGTTGCTTGGCGCCTTGGAAAGCAGGGCCGGCGTGTCTTCCGTACAATAGCTACGGGGAGCATCTCCATTTCCGTTAATATCATTTGTACGCTGTTCTCGAATGGCGTTGGCATTGGTGTCATCCAACATGCTCAGATTACTTAGGCTAGTGGCGCAGGAGAAGGCGGCAGGCGTGTGCTCCACGTGGAATCTGTTGAGTTTATCTTCGAACACATTGCCAGGCTTCCTATCCGGTGTCTCCAAGTTGTTTTGAGTGGGCATCTTTCTATCTCTTCTCGGCGACTGTGGCATACTCTGGGTTGGTGAATCCGGTAGCTCCGAAGGAGAGATGACGCCACTCTGCATCCGACTGTACTCGCTGATCACGGATCCATTATCCTCGCAGGCAATGGTCTCGTCGTCGCCCACCAGTGAGTCCATCGAACTGCGGCGGGAAAACATTAGTGGAGTTTCAAGTGCAGAGTCGATGTTTTGGGGCGTATTCCTGTCCAGTTGTGCCAGCTGAACTACAGGTTTCGTTGGCGTCTTTGGCGCCATACATTTTTCCGGTTTCTCCGTCAGGCTGTTCAGGGAGTCAAAGCGACTAAAGCTTCCAGGTGTTCCCTCTTCGCAGTAGTTGATCGGTCGCTCTGCTGTTTCCGTCTCCGCTTCGGTGGTTAGTTTCTGCTTGGCTGCTGAAACCGCCACAAGTCCTGGACCATTTCGCAGCTCTGTGGCCGAGGAGGACTTGGCCAACTGCAACTCACTGCTCCTAATCTCATTGGTCTCCGTCTTAATCTCCGGCTGTGCCGACTGAACGGATCGTCTCTCCTTATATCTAGCACTAAAATCTGTGGGCTGGTCCAAGTCAATCTCAAAGGTCTTACTGCTACTGGGTTTGTGCTCCATGTATTTCATAGAATAGTCGATGGGCTGCTCCTCCGTCGGTGTGACAATCTCGAAGGGGTTCTTGGCTCCCTCCGACTTGGTTGAGTATTTTGTGGAGTCTGACTTTCCCGAGTAAATGGACTCGCGACTCTCACACTTTCTGTTCAGGAAGCCAGCTGTGCTCACTGTGGAAGGTCGAACCTTTTTCAGCGAACCTGTGGGATTCGAGCTAAGACGAAGTGAGCTGAACCTTCGTGGCAGGGTGCCACCATGACCAGACTCCTTGTCCAGCGGCAGGGATCCACCATCTCCATTGGGCATCAGCTCCAGTGTAGCCCTAAAGTTCACCAAATTCTTCAGAGCCGAAGCACTCCCCTCGGCAATCATGGAATTCTTTGAGCTGATCAAAGCGCGCAGCAGGGGAATGGCATTGTGGTCGATGAGGTACTGCTGGTCCTCGGGACAGCGCGCTGATAGGTTCCACAGCGTTCCGCAGGAGTTGCTCACCACAGTGAGGCTCTCCGACTTTAATTGCTGCAGCAGAATGGCCAGGCAATTGTAACGCCTCAAGATTTGGCGGTATGGCTCACACACTGCAATGTGACTCGACACATTGCGCAAGATGCCTCCCGCATTTTCGATGATCTTGAGGGTTTTGCTCGGACCTTCGTAGCTGAGCATTCCCACCAAAAAAGCCAGTGCTCCGTCCACTGCGCAGAATTCCGCTTTGTTGGTGCTGCAGTGCGCCGAGAGATTCCATAGCGCAGAGAGTATGGCCTTGAGGGTGTTTTCGTTTTTGTTTTGCATTGCTGCTCGAGCCAAGGATGTCACCGTGCCCAGTTCGTTGAATATGGTCTTCATATGCTTGTCTGCGCGCCAGGAGAGATTGCGAAGCACTCCAGCCAGGACCTAGAAAAGTAGACGATTCATTAGGGCTTGAATATTGAGCTTGAAGAATGACCCACCTGAAGCAGTTCATCTGGAGCCGTATTCAACTGTGCAATTACCACCTCCATGAACTGCCGCTGGCCACACAGATATGACTTGTTGTGGACGTTCTCGTCTCCGAAGGTGAGATTCGTGAGTGCCATGAGGCCATAGCTCCTGAGGGCGTTACACTGTTCCCTGCCGGCAGCAGGTCCGTGCACTGCATGATCGAGATGCACTAGATTGGGGATCGCCTTGAGAGCCCCCAGTTCGCACATGGTCTGGCGGTGCTCCTCGTCGAAACTGGCCTTCATCAAAAGCTTCATGGCCGCCAGTGGATGGCGATCCTCATCATCCGCGATGGCCTCGCCCCCGCTCTGCAGCTGGGTGCGCAGGAAGTTACAGTACTCGAGGATCTGGTCCAGCAGGCGCAGCATCTTCACCTCCCGCTGGCGCTCCTTCTCCTCCGGATGATTGTGCACAATATTGTGCAGCGCCTGGCTGGCATACTTCCTTGCCGTGGAGAGGCCTTCGTCGTTGGCGTGCAGGATCTGCACTAGCAGCTGAATGCAGTCGGAGCTGCGCAGAGCGGTACAAGTTTCCGGATTGCGGGACAGCTCCAGGAAGTTGCGTGTCAACTCCAGGCGAGTGGCGTCGCTCTCGTTCAGCGTCATGGCTTTAAATGTATCCGCTCTAAGTCCTCGGTTGTAAGGGAATTCAAAGCAGGAGTTCCACGAAGAGGCCTTCTTCAGGGTCGCTTCTGGAAGAGTCCTGCTGCAAGGTCACTCCAACAGGTAGTTCCTTTCGATCTGAGATCCTCGATCTTTGTTCGAGATGCGTTTAAGCCATTTTCCAAGCGCGCAGGCTCAGCGCTCCAGTGTTGTCGATTAAGCTATTTTTTAGCCAGGCCCGGCTAATTTCAGTGACTGGTAAAAGAACTGGGCTCTTATAAAATTTCCTATTACTCAAGACCAAACAAGTAATTCCCAGTTCAATTTGATTTGGAATCTGTTCAAAGAATTAGATACATGCTTGTTATTAATCATAAATATTTGGCTATTATGACACTAGATATAGCTATATTTTGCAAACTAGATTTGCCAGCACTTATTTGCTTCAGGACCAAAATAAAGTCGATAAACTATTCAAAACTATCGAGATCCTTCCGGCTGGCAAGCGCGAAATTTGAATTAGAAATTATATGCGTTTAATAAATTTTAAAATATAAAAGCATCTAGTTTAAGATTATTAGAACAAATATTAAATAATTGTAATTAATTAAGTAGACTTGTACATACTTTGGAACGCTCAAACACTTTAAGAACAATACAAAATTGTAATTAAACGTACAATTCAGTACAATATTATTCATATAATAATAATAAAAATGTTTATAAATTTGAAATCCGAAACAATCGAATATACTCCCTTACACTTGTCCACCTCTAGTAAGCCGTTACGTCACGCCATCAGCTGTTGCTGGACGCAAATTGTTTCTGCCTGCCGGAATAATGAACTTTCTGAAAAAGGTGAGTTAAATAATAAATAATAATATACATTCAAATTGTAAACACCACACTCCCCCTGCAGCTGGTGCCCCAGGTGGCGGCCGAGGTGCAGCAACTCAGCCGGTCGAGCATCCACACCAGCTCCGTGTGCTGTCGCGTGCAATCCGGGCGATACCGCATAACCACAAAGCGAAACAGGCCGCTCACCTACGAGATGGCCAATCCTCCGCATTTCATTGGCCACCGCAAGTCGTGGAACTCGTTGAACACATGTAAGTTGTAAGAGACAATTTATTAAGGTTTCATATTCATGGCGCCCTTTCTTTAGCCACGTTGAAGGATGCCCTGCGTCCGTCGCAGACTGCCATCGAAGATGTGTTTATACGCAAGTTCGTCACCGGCACCTGGCACGCCCTCGTCTGCTCCGAGATCATCATCAAGCGGCAGCACAACACCATCAGAATTGCGGCCCTCATCCGTCAGGCGATCACCCCACGCAAAATGTACTTCCTTATTGGCTACACGGAGGAGCTGCTCTCCTACTGGATGCAGTGCCCCGTGACACTGGAACTGCAGACGGTGGGTGACAGAAAGGACGTGGTCTTCAAATACATTTAGTTGATTTCTCTATTTACATGTCCAATATAAAAATGTTATAGTTTTACTTAGTGCGTGTACTCGACTTCGCTGCTGTTGTTTTGCAGCGATTTAATGGCCTTGTTCACAATGACGCCGTCGAGATCCTTAACCTGAGAAGGATTTTTGATTAGGCAAGGGATTAATAGTGGATTCGTCAATTGCGTACCGTTTCTATCAGTCTTTTGAAGTCAGGCAGAGTTTTCTGCTTGAGTATCAGGGACTTAATGTCCTTGACTAGTTCCACAAACAGGAATACGACAATTTTGCGGGAGCCTCCACAGACTTTGTCCCAGATCTTGACCAAAACGGTCTCACAGATGACACCGGCGAAGCAGGTAATGTACCAGTTGTCCAGCAGCGTTGAGTTTCCATCAAACAGGCCAATTTCCTCCAGGTGGCTAAAGAAAATACAGACAAATCAGTTAAGGTACCAGTCCAGCCAGATTGGAACCCACTTGAACAACGTCTGATCCTCCCGCTTAAGCATAATCTGCGTCTGCTCCTTCAGCTTGACGCACTCCTTCTTCAGCTCGCGGGTGTACTTGTAGAATCCTTTGGCAATCCAGTAGGTCTCCACGTCGTCGTTGAATATCTGACGCAGGGTCCGCACTATCTCGATGAAGTGCATATCGTCCGCCTGGAGACTGGCACTGGAGTTGCCGTGCCACAATCGATTGGACTCCAGGAGCCACATGGTGTGCATGACCAGCTCCTTATCCTTTTGTTCGGCACACCGGAGCACAGTCACGGCCCGCAGCAGATCCTCGTACATTTCGCGCCTCTGGTCGCGTATGTAGGCCGTGGAAGCCTTGTGGAGCGGCAGAATGCCCATTACCAGAGCCCACAAATAGCTCCTATGTATGTTGGGGACCGTGTAGTTCATGCAGAACTGTTTCAACTTGTTCAGGTTGCGGATGTCATCCTGGAGCAGTTTGTTCAGCGACTTCTTCTCCTCGACGCTGTTAATCAGGCATTTCTCGTAGTAGCTGGATCTAAAGTTCCTTTCGTCCGTGTTCATGGTCAATTTTACATTTTTGTAGCCAGCAATAGAGGTGGGAGTTTCGTAGACTACCCAAAAAATCGCTCATATTAGGCAATGGCGTTACAAATACCCTTCCAAAATTAATTTAATTATTAATTCCAAAAATAAAAGATTAAGGTATATTATCAAATGTTAATACATTCAATTTTTAAAAGGATCTACTGGTAATTAGTAAGACTATACATAAGCTATTTATTAGAATTTTCCAAATTGTTAACAAAGTCATTATACACTTCACAAGGGTACAAAAATCGATAACTGGCCAGGGGACCTCATCGATTGTGTCATCGATGGCTGGGCCACCACTAGTACCCACTGGATGCAAAATGTATTTTCTGAAAAGGTAAACAAAATGTGCAAATCGTGGCGAGTAAAGGCAATAATTCGCGAAAACGGAGGCCTGGAAGGCCAGTCGAGAGTTCAGCAGTCACGGATATAGAGAGCCGGACCTTATCCGCCGGATATATCTGCGTGAACACGAGTTCGAGGCTGTTGCTTGCCAGCCACATGAAAATCAATAATTGAATCAGAAAATCAAAACACGGATTCGCCCAGATGCAAGCAGGCCCGCGATAAATTATGCAATTGTTGGAGCCATTAACAACCCCCCTACCCCCTCCCACCGTTCCCGTTCTCGTTTTGGCCCCGTTCGCAGTTGATGTATTCAAATGCAAATGCTGAGCTCGATTCTGGCCGTTGCCGTTGTTGTCTCTACTGCCGTGCATGTGCATGTTGTTGTAATTGGAGCTGGGAATCGCGATGGAGCAGGAAATCGGCACCTGGGACTCGGTGCTGCTGGAGAACCTGTCCGAGGATAGTTTCATAAACAACATTCATCAGCGCTACAAGCGCGATCACATATATGTGAGTCCTACAAGTCCTGTGAAGTGTCTACATTCCAATGCATACATTCCCTTTTACAGACCTACATTGGAACTTCTGTTGTGGCTCTGAATCCATATCATCACATATCCGAGCACTCTCTGGACAATGTCCGCAACTATGGCGACAAGGGCATCTTTCAGCTGCCGCCCCACATGTAAAATATTCTTACGGGGATTCTTAACTTGTAGTTTTTATATGCCCTTTTGTTATTCACCCAGCTATGGCCTCACCAATCTGGCCTACCAGTCGCTCAAGGATCAAAGCGAGGACCAGTGTATTCTTCTCACCGGCGAGAGCGGAGCGGGCAAGACGGAGACCTTCAAAATGATCGTCAACTTTCTGACCCACATACAGGACCGCTCGCACTGCCCCGCCACTCCGAATGTCCTGCGCAAGCAGTCCTCAATCAGCTCGACCAGCGGGCTGGCGACGCACGCCCACAGGCGCGCCTCCAGCAGCTGCTCCGGCACTGCCAACTTTATTATATGCAAGAACCGGGCGGAGAACACGCCAGCCACTATTTCACGACGACAGAGTCCTTCGCCAGGACCATCGCAGCGTTCGCGTACGCGGGCGGAAAGCATCGAGCGCCAGAGCAGGCGCCACATGCGCGAGAAGATCGTCGACTTTGACTTCTCGCACCACAAGAGTAGCGAGAACATCAGCAGCCTGCTCGAATCGCATGCCCACCACTTGCATCCGACCAAGTCGTGCTTCAAGCACCAGCAGACCCAAGTCAGCGCCTGCACTGCCATGCCCCCGGCTGCCAAAGGTTCGCCCAAATATGCTGTGCCCTCCATCTACGGCGGATGTCGCCAGTGCGGGCACAGCAAGTGCGTCCGTGCTCAGAGCCTGGAGAAGGAGGAGCGGGATGAGCTGCGTGGCAGCACATGCCGTCTGTCCAACTTAGCCACCGCCCAGCCGACGCATCCGCATCGCGTTAGCTGCTCTAACCTGACGCGTCAACACTCGTCAGAGAGTCAGCCGGAGCGGGAACGAGATCGAAGCTCCCTCATGGGGTCCACGCAACGTATATCGCTGTACGATGCACACAAGCTGAGTAAGGTGCTGGGCGATCTGCCTCCTCCGCCGCCCAGCTCCGTTTCGCCCACGCCCTCGGCCAGCTCGTCGCTGCACAGGCGCCACAAGTCGCCCACGCAAAGGATGCGCGAGTGCGTCACCTGTGCGGATGTGTTCCTGGAGGCCATGGGCAATGCCTGCACCCTGAAGAATAATAACTCCAGTCGATATGTGAGTGTAATACTGATTTAAAATAGTTCTAGCAGGGTCATTGCATATTAATCTATATTTAAAAATATTTATTTGTTTATTTTCCTCGTTTCTTTTTCAGGGCAAACTATTTGATATTGAAATCGACTTTAAGGGCGACCCGATGGGAGTGCACATAACCCACTGTAAGTAAAACCCTAACCAAAAAGGTGAAAATAATTTGAAAAAAACTTGTTTAATTCGTGCTTACTCCTAAGATATGTTGGAAAAGGTTTGCCCTAGTTTATTTTCCTAAATTTTATCTATTGAATATGAATCTAATTTTTTTCTGTTCACAGACCCGTATAACGGATACGATCATAGGAGAGCGAAATTTTCACATATTCTACCAGTTACTATTAGGGGCTGACCTCCAGTTGTTGAGTAAGAAAAGAATAACATAAACCCTTTGCAAATTGTACTAAAAAATATTTGTATCTGGACAGAATCGCTCAAGCTGTATCGGAATGTGGAAAAGTACGAGCTGCTTAGGAACACAACTGCCATGGAGGAGGACCGCATGAATTTTCATTATACCAAGGTTTGATATTCCGTTAAATATTATACATATAATCATTAAAACATTGCCAACTTATTCCAGCGATCGTTGGATGTCCTGGGCCTTAACTGTGAGGAGAGTAACTCAATTTTTCGGGTCATTGCAGTGGTGCTTAAGTTGGGTAATTTTATTTTTGTACCTATTACCAACATTGATGGAACCGAGGGTTGTCAGGTGTCTAATGTTTATGGTAAGTACCAAGCAATTTAACAAGGACATCATTGTAATCAGTTCTCATTTACAGAGGTTCAAGAGACAGCACAGCTTCTCAATATAGAAGCCCAAATTCTAATCAACTGTTTGACCAGAGCGAATAGTTCGAACAGCGCCCAAGAGGATGTGGGTTGCGAAATGGATGCCAGGCAAGCAGCCATCAACCGGAACACGCTTTGTCGCACTCTCTACAGTCGCCTCTTCACGTGGCTGGTGAACAAAATTAATGAGTCTCTTAAATCAACACAGCGCGAAAAGAACTTGGCATTGTTAGATTTTTATGGATTCGAAGTGTTGGAGCACAACTCCTTTGAGCAGTTTGCCATTAACTACAGCGCGGAGAAGATCCATCAGGCAAGTATTCGTTTTTATCTGGTAAATGTTTTATGAATTTTTAATTAAATCTCTTTTTTCAGAATTTTGTTTATCATATTCTGCGCTCAGAGCAAGAGCTCTACATCCGCGAGGGATTGGAGTGGTCCCGGATTGACTATTTCGACAACGAGTCAATTTGCGAGCTAATAGACAAGCCCAGCTATGGCATCCTGAGCTTAATCAACGAATCCCATCTAAACAGCAACGAAGCCTTGCTTTTGCGAGTTCAGCAATGTTGTGCGGGGCATCCCAACTTCATGACCACCGGCAGTAACTCCATGTCCTTTCAGTAGGTTTCTTAACTTAGTCTTAGTCTCACCCTAAATGCAATGTCTTTGCAGGATTCGTCACTTCGCAAGTGTAGTAAACTACTCAATACATCGGTTCCTTGAGAAGAACTCGGACATGCTGCCAAAGTATATCAGCGCTGCCTTTTACCAGAGCAAACTGTCGCTGGTGCAGAGCCTGTTCCCCGAGGGAAACCCCCGTCGGCAGGTCACCAAAAAGCCTAGCACGCTAAGCTCAAACATCCGCACCCAACTGCAGACGCTGCTGGCCATCGTTAAGCATCGTCGCTCCCACTATGTGTTCTGCATCAAGCCCAACGAGGGCAAGCAGCCGCACCAGTTCGACATGGCGTTGGTGCAGCACCAGGTGCGCTACATGTCGCTGATGCCGCTGGTCCACCTGTGTCGCACTGGCCACTGCTACCACCTGCTGCACGTCAAGTTCTTTCACCGCTACAAGTTGCTCAACAGCCTCACTTGGCCCCACTTCCATGGCGGCAGTCAGGTGGAGGGCATCGCCCTGATCATCCGCAACCTGCCGCTGCCTTCGGCGGAGTTTACGATCGGCACCAAGAATGTGTTCGTGCGCAGTCCGCGCACCGTATATGAGCTGGAGCAGTTTCGCCGCCTGCGGATCAGCGAGCTGGCAGTACTCATCCAAAAGATGTTCCGTATGTACCATGCGAGAAAGCGATTCCAGCGCATGCGGCACAGCCAGATGATCATCTCAAGTGCCTGGCGCACGTGGCGGGTAAGCACTTCGCTGGGGAAATTATTAAATTGCATGATGAGCCTTATTTTACTTTTATTTTCTGCATGTTCAGGAGTGCCGATTTGGCATTCCCTTCACTGGTCGTAGACATTTGTGGAGTTTATATCGTGTTGTAAGCATTGCATGATTTATTTTACCTTTGTTAAGAGTTTACTATTTTATCATTAATAACAAATTTATTTACCTTCAGGCCCGCGAGGAGTATCGGTCCCTGAAGTACAAACGTCAGGTGAAATGGGCTATAGATGTTATAGGTCGTTATTACCGCCAGTGGAAGATAAGACAGTTTCTGCTGACTATTCCCCTGCGATTGCCACCCAATACGTTGAGTCCACTCTCCACAGAATGGCCAGCGGCGCCTGTTTTCCTCGCGGATGCCTCCCGTCAGCTGCGCTCCATTTATCATCGTTGGAAGTGTTATATCTACAGGAACTCCTTTGATCAAACGGCACGCAATCGAATGCGAGAAAAGGTCACCGCCAGCATAATATTCAAAGATCGGAAAGCCTCCTACGCACGAAGGTAATGTTTGTACTTAATTCGTAAAAAGGTAAATACTTATTGATTCTTTTGCAGTGTGGGTCATCCTTTTGTGGGCGACTATGTGCGTCTGCGTCATAATCAGCAGTGGAAGAAGATCTGCGCCGAGACCAATGATCAGTA